TTTTCTCAGTGCAGCATTGAACCTATTGTCAAGGATCGGGTAGAGGCACTCTTCATCAAGTTCCTCTATTGCGTTGGCGTTCTCGACACTCATGACCCAAGACATGGCATATGGCGAGTCATAGCTGAATGCGTTGCTCACGATTTCTCTCGTGGAAATGATCCAGTCTCGCAACTCGTGCGGCGCAGGCTCTTTCTCGAGCTCTATGTTGGCGCACTTGTTCGCCTCAGATGGCAACGAAGTTAAGGGCGGTCGAGTAGCCTGCCCAAAAACGTGGGGAGGTAGAACGCCGTCTCTGCCAATGGATATGGCACAAAGAGAGCAACTCCCAGACGATGGTGGGCAGCATGCGGAACACAAGGAAGTGCGGCACAACGAACAGGTTTGGAAGCATGGAGGTGTCCCGGGGATGCTGGACTTGACATTGATGTTGCATCGAGGGCAGACCCTCTCCTCAGCGGAAGATCGGCGAAGGTCGGGAGCTCCAATACCGCCGACACCACCGGCGCCATGCACACCCTTACCGAGTCCCGGTGGAAGAGAGAAACCAGCTGGCCCGCCAGAGTTATCCTGTACTCCGTGGTGAGGCTGTGGGTTCTGCTGATTTGTCACAGCAGTGTCAGGCCCGTATCTTCCGCGAATGACTCCCTGAGATGTTCCATGCTCAACCTGACCAGTGAAAATCCCCCCTGTAGGGGGACATCCGGGATACGTGTTGATGGTTCCCCTCGGAGCTGCTCGCCCGACTACGGGCGATGACATTGCCCTCGGCGGCATTGGCCCGGCGGCTCCGGCGTGGGAACAGAAACCAGAGTTTCCTTGTTGCGGTTCAGGACTCCGATGTGACGGATCTCCACGCGATGGCCCGGATCCAGGATCAGGAGCAGTGCCATCCCGCTGATTATGGTCAGGAATGCAACCAGGTCCTCCAGGTCCCGCACTAGGACCACGATGCTTAGTTTTCCCATTGGGGTCAGCCCTCAAGCAGCCGAGGCAAATAGGTCGAACATCTGACCCAAAACGGCGCACATCGTCAGGTGAAGCGATGTGTTGATCGCAGTACTCATCCTTGCATATGAGACATGTCACAAGTCCGTGTCTCCCCCCTCTTCCCCTGCATGCGCGGCATCTAGGAAACTGATCGCTACATTTGAAACATGAGTTACAATCATGGTCAAAGCAGTCTTCGCAGACTGACTTGCCGCAGCTTCGGCATGGATAGCGAGGTTCCCGATGCTGTGGATGCCCGGGCTCCTCATGAGCGCACCTGGCCCGGTTATCAGGGGCAGCGCCGGCAGCCCGAGCAACGGCCCTCGTTCTAGAGGGATCCCTGCCAAAGATGGGGGCTGATGGTGACGGTGGGGGTGGCCCTGAAGGAGGTGGAGGTGGAGGAGGTCTCGCCGAGCTGACGATGCGAGCATCACGAGGAGGAGAACCTCTAGGAGCCCTTCCCTGGGTTAAGGGATCAGTGTCTCCAGATTTCTCCCATGGCCCCGTCCCGGTGATCGAAGCAGCGCCAGCACTTGAAGATGCGCAGGCAGCAGGAGGTTGTTCCCTCAATTCAGCGATCTGCATGTTGATCTCATTGACCCTCAACACAAGCTTCATAAACTGCTCTTGCATGTCCCTCGGATAGGGGCCTAGGCTTTTATCATGAAGGTCCTTGACGCACCTAGCAATACGGGACAATTGAAGCTTGAACTCTTCCTGTTTCTGTGAGTTCTCATTGAGGGCTCCGGACATCCTATCACTGAACTGCTTCAGGTCGGTCGCAGGAACGAGCTGCTGGATATACGTCTCGACGTTCCCACGGATGGTTCTTTCCCTTGAGATGGTTCCCTCAATGTCAATGACACTGCGAGAGTTCGCCTCAACTTCGTCCTTGATTTTTCGAACTTCAGCCTCAAGGGCCCCAATCTCAGAGAACCTAAGGAGCTGGACCTTGACGTTTTCAAGTGACTCGGCCTGCTCGCGAAGTTCAGCAGCGGATATGACGATCGAGTTGGACCTCTCATCATACATCTTGAAACGCTCATTCATCTCCTTCTCGCTTCGGGCGACCCACTCGTGGAAATCACGGAATTTGGCCTCGTGTCTTGAGAGGGTTCCGGCAACGGCAGAAAAAGATGATTCAACCTTCTTCTCGAAGGCATCAACACGGTTATTGATCTTCTTGATTTCACCGACGCAAACGTTGATGTCATCCCTGCATGAACGAATCTCAGTTCTGCATCCCTGGATTTCGGCCTTGCATCCCTTGACCTCGTTGTGGATCGCGAGAAGCAGTCGCTGTAGCTCAGATGCAACCGGATGGCCGTCACTTGTGGATGCAGACGGGGCAGGACGACTATCAGCGTCATGAGCTCCACGCCTATTTTCTTCCCTGTCGGGAGTGCAGCCGGGAGTCCCGATTTGAAAGAATGCAGGGATGAGGGAGTTGCTGACCGGCTGATTTGATGGAAGCCCTCCATTCCCAGGGGCAACAGTGCTAAGTCCGGGTCTCCGGTTCCTGGGCGTAGAGTTGATCCCGTCATCAGTCTCCTTCTCAGACATCGGGGCATTGGAGCTGAGCCCAGACCCCGCAGAGTGGATAGGAACGTCAACAGGATCGTGATGAGCTGGGGGATTAGATCGCAATCGGAGGGCAGCTTCACGTCTTTCGGGTGACTCAGAGCTCCTCTTTGTGGCTCGCGAGTCAGTGCCGGTTTGTCCCGACATGTTATCAAACGATGACGATCCGCGATGTTGAGCTTGATCTGGATCAGGTTGAGTGAGATCAAGCCGTTGAGCAACGTCATCATTGAATGGCTTAGGGGAAAGTACTTTGGCAACGCGGCTCGGCGGGAGCGATGTCGTTCGTCTCTCTGGTGTGACCTCGGCCTCATCGATTACATCGAGGATCCCAGGGATGGTTTCATCATCTTCATTTCCTCTCCTGGGTGGCTGATGGAAGGGAATGTCGAGAAGGTCGAAGGGAGTAGAGCCAATACCAGGTGTATCCTGCTCGGATCCATCACTGGTACGGTGGCTGGACTGCTCCTCGAGGTCGATGACGTCGGGGGCGGACTCTTTCCGAGTCTGATGCCGATCGAAGGCCGCGAAGAGACCGGCATGGCTTCTTGACGAAGTGGATGAAGGATTTGGGCCTGCTATTTCGCGGCCCGCGTCCGATCGATGAGTACCTGATGCTTGGTTTGGCGGATTTGAGCCCGCGTTGTAGCGGTTCGCGTCCCGACCTCGGGTGCCTGAGAAAAGCGGTGGATTAGGACCAGCGTTGTAGCGGTCCGCATTCCGGTCGCGGGTACCTGACAAGTGAGATGATACTGCATCAGGGATGAAGTCCATATCCGCCGGACTGGGGTGATCGTGAATGATGTCAATGTCGGATGAACCTGAGACAGGAGGAAGGCCAGCTATTTGCGGCCAATCCTCAATCGCCCGTTTGCCCGCCTCGGGTTGGGCCGAACCTGCAACTTGAGAAGGGGAGAATTCTTCAATGGGGTCATTTTCTCCATCATGTGGAAAACCCTGAGTAGGTTCATGCATAGGCAGGGCATCAAAAGATCTGTCTATTCGGGAAGGTTGAGATCTCCAATCAGCATCAAAAAGGGATTGAAAATCCAGATTCCCGACCGACATGGGGCACCCGAGTCGAAGTCGAGCCGACCGAAATCAGGCGGTGTAGCCTGCGATCCACTGCCGAGGAGCTGGTCAAACTGATCCCATGTAAGGGACCAAGATTGAGCCGGCTCCTGATGAGCAGCATGATGGGCAGCCCGGTCTTCGATCTGGAGCGCCACGAACGGAACAGTAGGCGAAATCGACGAGGGCACCTGATTTGGAGGAACCTCAGCCTCTTCTAGAGGGGGTCCGTCCTCGATCTGGAGCACTGCCGCCGGGATAGGGGCCTCCGCATCCTCATCAAACACGACCTGAGAAAGGATCCAATCGTCCGTGATCACCCCGGGATTGGGCTCTGCGCCCACCATCGGGGGAATGGGCCACAGCCGGCTGTCTAAGCCGGGGGCAGCATGCGCGGCGTTGCCGCGAAGGGCGTTGGCCTCGTCATCCACGAAGCCCGGCCCACGATGTGAAGCTCCGGGGGACGCCATTGCTCGTACAAGTAGGCGAGGGAGCAGGTAGCGGGTCACGTCCCGCAACCGGATCACCAGCCCCAGCTTCTAGCTGGTACGGCTGATAACCTGCGGTTTTGGGCGAACACGAAGTAGCCCAGGGAAGCAAATGAGCACAAAGAAGATCACGATGTACCCAAAGCACCCGGAAACACAACTCGGGTGAAGCTGTGGATGATGACCGGGTTGAGGATGTGACGGTTAGCAAAGAGAAGTTTGGGGAAGTTGGGAATCAAGTTGAAGAAGTATAAGTACTCAACCAAGCCCAGCAAACCCTGCCGCACCACCGGATACCTCCCACAACCAGCTGCCCCCAGCACCGAGACCTTTTCCCGATGATGTGGGCGGCTGCCGTTGTATGGCGTCCGCACGTGGTGCCAGAGTTAAACTGACGGGGGGTTGAAAACTTGAGCCAAACGGCCATTCGGCCGTTTTGCCAAAGAAACAACACGTGAACAAAACACAGAATGGAAGGGGAATCAACCTCCATTTGCTTAAAACGCTGGCTAGAAAATGAGAAGATACTGTGGATGGACGAAATCCTGCACCACCTAAGACTCCCTGGAAGGATGATTCCCCTGTAAATACAAAAAACAATGGTTTCAACCATGTTTCAAAGTGGTGCGAAATGGATTTCGTCCATTCATAGTAGGTCCTCCAGTAGAGAGGTTAGAATAAGGGTACCCTTTTTACAGTGGTCTATTTTTGCAGGGGAACCCTCCCAACCAAAAAAAGGGGTGAGAAAGGGCGCCTAGCTGGGGGACCTAGATTCCCTGTAAAGGAAACCATGTTTAAATCCCGACAAGTGAAATCAACCCCTAGGAAAGCCGCCGCTTGGGTCGGTGGCCAAATCCCCCGCCGAGCGGCGACCGCGCCGACGGCGCGGGCGACCGCGGCGACCGCCCTCTGGCCGCGACGTTCCGGGGCGAGGCGCTGCGGGGGCTGGCCGCCTGCGGGGGAAGCGTGGAAACCACAAAATTTCCCCATTTTCCCAATTTTCCCTCTACAAGAAACTGGGGCTCAAATGCAAATTCAGGTCACCAATCCAAACCACCAACGAAGAGTTACCTGATTACTGGAGTTGCTCTAAAGGGGAAACCACATTTCCTTAGGTGTCCTTTTTTGGAAAATAGATGGCCCTAGTTGATTGAACCACCAGGTAAACCAGGAATCGCCCTCTATTTTTCAACCAAATCAACCAAAAAGGGCACCTATGACAACGGGGCGCAGGGCAGCGGTGACCTTTTTTGGCCAAGCGAGTGGGATAAGGTGACCTTTTGGTCAAGGGAGTGGGGTAGGCCTAGGATTAAGGAGGGGGTAAGCCAACGAGCCTAGGAGGGGGGTAAGCCAAAGGGCACACCTGTCCGTTGGGATCTTTGTCCTTCGTTAGCCTTTGTTGCGCTGACTCTTAGACGCCTCCTTGATCCTTGGCTCTTTGGGTCGGTGACCTTTTGGTCAAGGGACTGGGGTAAGCCTAGGATTCACCCAACAAAACACCCTTAACCAAGCCTTTGGGAAACCAAAAGCAATCGAGGGGTTTCACCTTTCTCGCTGGTGCTCTGGTGCGGGGAGCCGGACTCGGACTCGCCAGCGGGACTCGACCCCCATGCTCCAAAAAAAGAAAGCAGGGTGTCAAGGGAAATGGTTAAAGAGAGACCTCCTACGCGAGAAACCCAAGCAAAACCCGAACCCAAGATCAGATGTCAGAAGATACTACTCTATCTAAGCCTAGGGAAGCAATCCAAAATGCGTCAAAAATACCCCCCTCCCCCCAACCCCCCCCCCTTAAAAACGAAAAAGGCGTCCTCAAATGATTTCCAGGTACTGAGCCTCAAAACAAAGCACCATCTGGAGGGACTGCTTCAGAGCCGGCTTGCAAGGGAGGAGGTAATCAGCCCAGTGACTACTATCCCCTGGCTATGGCTTTAGATCACGACTGCCTCCCCCCTGAAAAAGAATACACAACGTTGAAAGAAAACATGGGTCTGTCTTTTTTGAGGGTATCCGTTTTGGATGGTTTTACAGGCAAACCAGAGAAACGCCACCCATGTGTTATTTTTTTGGGGGGGGTCCCTATTTTGAGACAACCCTACATCGTTCTGCACAAAGTCTGCACGATTCAAACACTGGATTTCATGAATTGCCAAAAGCTCTATCTCGGCTGAGCTCGCCAAAAAAAAAAGGCGGTCGGCTTTCCAAAAATGGCAAGGGGCAAAAAGGCTAGTGAAGTTGGTATGTGGCAAACGAGGTGAAGATTTCCTGTCGGTGGCCATCTAAACCAATCCGAAAGGGGTAGCCTCAAAATCCACGCCCCCAAGTCTGGCAACAACGCGAGCGAAGTTTTGGGCCCACCTTGGCTCACCTGAGCACATTGCAGGCGCTAGCGCGACGTTTCTCGTGAAGGGTCGTCCTTCTTGCCGCCTGTTTGGGGAAGTGCGAAATACCTCCTAACTGACTAACCCCTCCAACTCCAAATGCGGTCTGAAGTAGATGCCATATTCTTCCAAAATGTTGGCTTCATCACCTTGCCGACGTTTTAACATGTGTGCCATCTGGCTGTGGGTCAAAACCCAAATCGTACCCCCAGTGAAGATGCCCCGATCCCCACTAAAATCCCGACTAACATGGGTGAATTCACCTACCAACCAACATGGGATCCCATTGGTGTTGACAACCACGGCCATCTCGTTTCACCCTGCAACCCACTCCGGCACGCTCCGGCACGCGGCTCGCGGAAGCGCACGCCTGCGGGCTGGCCGCCGGCGCCCTGAAGAGCGGAGCGCAAGGAAGGGAGACTCGCCACAACCAGCGAGCGACGAAGAAAGACCAGAGGCGCAACAAAATGCTGACCGGATGAAGAAACCCCTGTCTATTGATAGCGGGGCGGTTTTTGGCCCCTCCAAAAGTGAACGATCCCCACCAAAACCAAGGACACCCCCCTAAAAACGGGGGGGGGTGTTCATTATACACCACATGATCACGCCGCAAACTAATAAACACCAGCCTCCCGCGAAGTCGGGCTTTATTCGCATGCGTTTGCTCTCGAAGTACCGCAGTGTTCGAGACAGCCGTTGGCCGGGACCCGGCGGGCCCATGTGGCCGAACTCACAGTCGGCTGTTCAGATCTGCAAGGCTCTGGCGTCGGAGTCTGCGTCTAAAAGGGTTGAAAACAAACCGATTTAAGCTGCATCTTCTGGATTCTGCGAGATCTGCGAGTAAGAGCGATCACTTCAACATGATGACATGGGTTAGTGCGCTGCAAGACTGGCAGCGTCGCAGCACTTTGCTCAAAGCTCTGCAACATCCCACATGTCCTTGTAGCATGTTTCGCGGGAAACTCATGTATACACATATTGCATAATTTGAATCCAGCTTTATGCGTTCACATCCCAGGTCCAATCAAGGTTGACCCCTCTCAACAACCTCGGTGCGCTGAACCTGTCACACCCCGCCTGGCGCGGCAAGGGGTAGGCGTGAGGGAGCGCGGGGCAGCTTTGGCGCTGTCGCCAAGCAGCAAAGCCACTTCTAGGAGAAGCCTGGCTGGAGCGGCCCAGAGACTTACCAGCGGATTTAGAGGATCCCTTATAAACCATGGATTTTGGGCTGATCGTTTGGGAAACTCTGGTTAAGGTCTTGTGCCAACCCACATGTTTGAAAAACAACAACCTCCTCTTAGTTTCCCTTTCAAGGGGACAAGTCAACCCAACCCCCTGGAAGAGAAAGATCTTTAAACTCTTGTTTAAGCATCCTGCCTTCAGCTTCTGTCAACAAATCATTCCCAGTTCTCCAGCATAGCCCAATCGGTGCAGATTAGACAAACCAAGCGTCTCAGGGGACCTTCATGCACCCAGCTAGCTCATAGCGGCTGCGCGCAGCAACATTTTGCCGGATCTCTCCAAAAACAAAAAATGCCTTTGAAATGGGGCTGGCTCAAAAAAAAAGTCGAAACCCAGGGGTGGTGTCCTTCTAGTTCCCCTTTAAAGCCATACAAACGGGGTACGCTCAAAACAGGACACACCCAAACGGAAGAAACCATCAACTTGCTGGGGCCCAGAGCATGAGCTGGCACCTATGAACCACGACTAGGGTTCATTCACCAAAAAAAACAAAGAATTCCCTGAGCAGCTTGCTTGATTCCTATCTTTTGTTTGAGGGGGGTAAGGTTCCCCATTTGACAGTTGGGACCTGAAAAATGTGAATGCGTCTCAAAATGAGTCATTGGCAAACCTAATCCTGGTATTAAAATTGTCTGCCCAGAACCATGTAAGGAACTATAAGAAGATGGCTACACCCATTTATGGGATTATCTCTGCTAACCTTCACCTACCCAATTTTTTGTGGCTCAAATGAGGAGCCCTCAACTTGGTTGCTGTTAACCCCTCTGGGTCCAATTCGGAACACCCACAAAGTTTCAACCGAAAAGTTACAGTCCAAAGAGAGTTGGTCCTTCTTGGGTTTCCATTTCCAAGCACTTCCCTAAACCAGGGCCCTCCATGTCTCAGGCAAACAAAGGACACCTCTGCTTCCCCATCGAACCAGCCGCGGAAAGCCGGAAAGCAAAAAGCCGAACGCCTGGCCGCCTCCGCTCGGCAGGGCTGGCCGCTCCTTGCGGACCTGGGCGGTCAGCCCACTGCCCACAAAGTGCTCCCGACTTTTTGCTTGGCTGGAAGTAGGACCCCGGCAATGGGTCTCTATTTTTTTTTGCCTGGTTAGTGGAACACAAATAGTGGGTGCTGCCCAAGCCTTCAATCCAACCCTCTGATTGAAGGCTTCGGCAACCCAGTGCTTCCATAATCTGGGGAAACCATGATGCACAACCTAGAGGTGGCCGTACCTGCTTACGTGCTATAGTCTCAGTTTGCCCAGCTTTGACCCCGAAACACCTTTGGGGGCCATGACTACCAATGGGAACCCAAAACTGGGAAACCAAACGGTCAAAACTGAGAACTAAGTTCAAGACCCAACAAAAGTTGAAACGGAGCGCAAAACCATGTTTCATAAAAATTGCCCATGTTCAACCAAAAGAGTTAAAGGGCGCCGGCCTGTTTTCCATTAAATGTAAACTTGCACTGTGAAAGTTATCAATGTCACCAAGTTGGAGGTCAAAAATCCAAATCCAAGTCTCGAAAGGTTCAAACAAGTTTTAAAGTTGAAAAGGGGCGTGCACTCAGTCAGACTCTTAAATGGCCACGACCCATGGCTTCACCATGACACGAACCCAGAGGTGAAAGAGGTTTAACATACCTCACTTCTTCAGTGGATTGGCCGCAAAAGTCTGAATTTGTTAGTTACCGTCTTCTTGCCTTTCCAAGACGTATAAAGTCCATTACTCATTCACCAACACGCAGCGTCACCCATTGCCTATGGATTCCCAGAAAGGGTCGTACGGTATTGGTGTTTCTCAGGCCGAATGGATTCCCTAAACTTCTAGAGGCACCTTCCGCATGCTTTCCAGGGATCCTTTCCAGAAAACCTCCGGAAACCCAGAAGGAAAACGGCCGGTTTTCACCAAAACGAGGGTGAAAAAAAAGAATGGGTTGGAATCATCCGCTAGAGAAATGCCCAATTAGGGCCAACAAAGCCTTGGATCCAACTAACGGGATGAATCGATCGCCGGAGGAAATTCCTCAGCCGTTCAGTGCTGCAAAAAAAAGGAAGAAGAGATAATTGGAACCCTTTTTTGGGCTTAGACCCTTTGTTGTGGGGCAGCCACCCCCCACCCCCAAAAAAAAAGAGGAAAAAAACGAAAAAGGGTTGGGGCCACTGAAGAACTGAGCTAAATACTGCAAGTAAACCAACCACAAGTCATGGGGATTTACAGGGCTTCCCAGCGATCCCGATCCCTTGCAATATGTGGCGTTCTGGCCACTGAACAACTGAGATCCCCATTCCAAGGCACAAGTCCAGGCGCTGCGCCAAGGCCCCGAGCTTGGCCTTGCACTGCGACAGCCTCCCAGACATCGCGAGAGCCCGAGAGAGCCCGAGAGAGCCCGAGAGCCCAACGCCTTCGGAAACCGCCCCGGCCACGGCTCCCCCCCCCAAAGAAAAGCAGGAGCGCTGTTCGAAAAGGGCGGAAAAAAAGGGGCAAACAAAAACGCCCAAAACCTGTGGTTCAATCATGTTTAAACAAAAACATACAGCCAATGGAAGTAGAGATTTGGTTGCTGCGCGTGATTGCTCTCAACACGCTTTCTTTTTGGGCCCTATGAATCACTTGCCCACTCGGTGGACGTTTGGAGTGTACCGTGAAAAAAGCTCAAAACAACAATCTCAAAACTGGTACGCTGGTGGTGGCAATTACATGAACACGAGCAGAGGGCGGGTGCGAAAGTGAGCGTTGGCATCATTTTTGAACAATATGCAAAAAAAAGCCCTCAAGAAAAAGACACACCCAAATGGACCGAAAGAGCAGCGGAGGCTGAAATGGAAATCCAACACACATGCCTGGGCTCCGGTGCTTCCCTCAACAAACAATCTATCACCCGCCTTTAGGAAAAAGACCCAGTATTCTTGAGTCCCTAAAATGTCCCTACAAAAAGCACCACAACCAGCCCCTGCGTTGCCCCCGCTCACGCAAGGTTCCAGGGTTAATGTCCTTATGCCCCGTGCGACGCCTACAAAGGAGGGCTCTTGTTGCAGAAGGGGGTGCGCCCAGGGTTGGGCGATTGGCAACCACATCCTGGTCACTTTTGGGGGACAAACGCAGATATTCCAAAGGGCGGATATTTTCAGCTTTCCACTTTTTCACCGTCTCCTCACCTACCTGGGTTCTGACATGTTCTGACGTTTCTTGAGGGCCGGAGGGTTCCCTCCCTTCCCCAACGGACATGGAAACAAAAGGCGATCCTCTGTTGGGCCCTTGACTGAAAGTATGCCAAGGGAAAGCCAACAGCTACGCTCGGGCAAGCGGGCTTGCGAGCGGGCAAGCGAGCGAGCCCCAAGAAAAATTGGCTCACTGTCCTAAAGTGGGGGGCCCCGAACATGGAGCAACTTGTGGTTTTCCTGGTGGTTTACCTTTACAGCCACCAAGAAAAGGGGGGGGACGAAGACACACCCATACACCCCGAAAAATCCTCCAGATTTGAGAAGTTCGAAGCAGGGTGCCGTTTCCTTTTTCTGTAGTCTAGTTCAGTAGGGGAACCCTCCCCCAAAAAAGAAATGGTAAAAGGGCACTACTGGGGGACCTAGACCCATATGAAGGACACCGAGCCATGCCTATGGGCCGTGCTCCGCGTCTTCACTCGCTGCTCTGAGACTTCCCCGTTCGAACGGGCTGCGGCATGGCGCAAATACCTCGCGCTCGACCAGCGGAGTCAGAATCAAACCTGGTAAGGTAGGCTCCTAAACAATTCTTCCATTTGGTTAAGACCCCTTGGAGGAAAAAAACAAACATGTGTCCAGCAGTGATGAATTCCAACTTTAAAACCAACAGGGGGGGGGAATAAACTTAAGCAACTGGAAGAATTGGAATGGGCTTGCGGGTCCTTGGATATGTTGAGACCATATTTAGTCATACAGGGGAGCAGGAATAACTATTTAGCCCCCTAGATTGTCAACTTGATTGTTTTCAATGAGCTTAACTTATTGCACCTTCTACGCTGCCCGGTTAAAACGTGGGCCCGCCTCACAGCGAGCGAAGGTGAATCCGGATTGCGCGCTTGAAGAAGGTTAGTGGAAAAATTCAACGTCCCCAGAATGTCTAAAGGTTCAAGATCCAACCCAATAGCATTCAAGTTCAACTGGCCCACCCAGGCCTTTCAAGAATTTAAAAAAAAAAAAAAACTACGAAACATCAACTACCCAAGGCGTGATCCCTCACAGACCTTGACCGGAAATCCCCGCAGAGCCCATGTTTTCTCGATCTCTGGAAATGGGAAAGGCTCCGCCCCATCCAACTCAGGGGCAACGGGGGGATTCAGGCCGTGGAAGCTCAAGAGCCAATCATGGAAGCCGAAGGCGCTAAGGCGCCCAATCTCGCCCGCCTCTTTTCCCTCCACTTCTGTGTTGGACAGAGGGTGCCGTCTCAACTCCCGACGTGTCAATTTACTGGAGGGTACCCTCAAACCAACCGACCACCTCTGGCCTGTCATCGGACGATACCGAGAACAGCTGCTTCACCTCCGGCGGCAGCGTTCGCGGGCTGCGCGTCCGAGCCATGGCTGTCATGGCCAGGATGTTCGCTGGTCGCGTCGTCGCGCCGGGTTTTTGTCCTGCCTTCGGTTGACAGGTGTATAGGGCCAATGGGCCAAGTGTCCATTTGTCGCCTTTCGGGCAAACATCCGCATTTTTGTTGCTATCATCCCAAGAGCTGAAGCAAAGACTCTGATACTACTATGAGTCCGATTCCAAAAGCTGAAGTAAGAATCGGATCCAAGGACCCTTCACCATGGGCTTTCGCTCGTCATGCTTTTCCCCGGGTCGGTGAGCTCGAAGCATGGCTGGGGGGTCTGGCACTTCCTCTCTGATGCTTCCATGGTCATGAGCCTCCCTGCGGTCAGAAACAAATTGTAGTTGGGACAAAACAACACCTGTGCAACTTCTGGACTTCTAGACATCTAGTCTGCACACCTCGTGAGGACAATGTCTGCAACTTTGACAACTCCAAAGCCTGAGGTACGGGAAGCCTCCCGAATCGAATCGGAGGCGACCTTCAGCCAAGCATCGCAAGATCTCGGGGATGTTGGCGGTCCGGGAGAGCCAGAGCGCCTATGAGGTTCTGCTCAATGGGCGGGACCGTTAAGGGGAATTTGTCCACCGTGCAAGAAGGGGGTCCCAGGAAGAATAGGTAAAGTCAACCAGAAGGAGGAAAAATTTGAAGATGTCACCCTTCCTCCAAAAATCATGGAGGCTGACAGGAGGGTTTTGGAAGTCGAAAGCTTTCCTTTTGGGCAACCCCTTTCACTTCCAGCATTTGGAAAGAGGGTACTTTCATTGAACCGGTGCAAGAAACCGCCCAGTGCCCAGGAAGTGGGGGGGGAAGGTGGTCTAGAACTCAGACCTCAAGTGGCCATGGGAAAAAAGCGGGCACCCTTTTTGAGCATTTGGCGATTTGAAGGAAAAACCCTCAACACAAAAACTAACCCCCCCAATTAAAAAAACAACAACAATGTACCCCCACCAAAAAACTACCCCCCCCCCCCCCAAACATCTCCACCAGCCGCAGGGCTCCAAAAAGACTCCTCTTCAAACATCCGGCCAAGAAGCTCACTGTCAACGGGAGTCATAATCAAAAACCCATCGGCAACATGGCGCGCCCAGAAACATGCTTCAAGACTGAACCAGGCGAAGGCGCACCCATTTTTGGCCTCAGCTCAGCAAAACCTCATCTTCTGGCAAGCTACCCCGCCCAAACAAAAATATACATATTTATAATATATTATATATATATATATATATATATAAATATCTGGATTTTGAGGTAGATGGCCCAGGCGCTGCGCCCTAACGAACTTCAAGGGAAAAGCTACCCTCGCAGCTCCGGAAGGCGCCCTGTATGAAACTAGGCCCTCCAGAGAGGATAGAATGAGGCTACCATGTTTTCTGTGGTCTATTTTAGTACGGCCACCCCTCTCCCAAAAAAAGGAAAACGGCAAAAGTGCACCAATCGCTGGGGGACCCAGCCACCGAGGAAGCCCCGGCCTGTTGCGCCTTGGGTCCTTGCCAGGAGCACGCGGATGCGGCGGGTCCCAAGGCTCCCGGGTCCAAATGCCGTGGGTGTCACCAGAGTCTGAGGTGGAAGGCCCCCTTGGCCCTTGGTTGCTGGCGAGACCACGCTGCAAAAATCTGCAAGCATTGCGAGGGGTTACTCCGAATATATGCTATCAAAGCGTCTTGTTAATTGGGCCCTAAGGCATCTTCCACCCTTCGATCTTGGTGTTGTGTGACGTGTTGTTGTGTATCTATGTATGTTTGGTGTTGTTATTTTCTTGTTTGTTTTTTGCATACAAGTGTTTCAATTGTACAAAAACAAAAGAAGAGGCCCGGGGCAACCCCGACAAACCCACGCCGGCTTGCAAGTTCACCCACCCGTCCTCACTCGATCGCTGGTTTTGTCTCGCTCCATGGCGGAGTGCGACAAACAAAAACTTGACTCAGCTACCTTACCACCCGAGCTGGCACCAAGCCGGCGCCAAGACTCTCATTCAGGTCACCCCTTGTGGCTTGGATTGGTTGGAAAAACCTCTGGTTCTAGAGGGAAATGGAAACTAAACCACCAAACCAAACCACCAATTGAGGGTCAGGTGACATAATGCCAGGCCGACTGCTGAAAGTGAGCTGGCACCAAGCCGGCGCAAAGACGATGGAGTCCTTGAGCATTCGGGGGCCTGGTTCCGCTTGGCTTCCCTTCAAACCACCCCCCACACGCCCTCAAAACGAGACAATTGCGCAGTGAACCACCCGCGCAGTTCAAAATGGCAAAAATTGAGATAGTCGCTTCTCGTGAGCCCTTGCCGTAGGTCAAGAAATGTGACGCTGGGGCCGACTGGGAGCGCGAGCAGAATGCTTCCGAAGTCATGCCCGGTGACGCAAACAGCACATGACGTCTGCATAAAAACATGCGCGCAAGACAAACCCCCCCCAAAAAAAAAAACGGGGGAAAAAAGAAGAAGAAAAAAAACGAGATAGGGCAAATGCCAGTTTCGCCGCCCTCGCTTGCCAAAAGCGCTCGAGTCTGGAGACCACCTCTGGCATATCAAAAATGGGTCAGTTGTGGCCTCCCTTCAACTAGGAGTAGCGAGGTTAGAAGAAGGGCACCAACTTTTTTTTCCGTGGTCTACTTTGGTAAAGGAACCCTCCCCAACCAAAAAGGGGGTCGGAAAGGGCAACTAGCTGGGGGACCGAGTCAGTGAAAAGCGTGAATCATTCGGTGGGGTGGCTGGTGGCTTCCCTCTGGCCCCCACACCGCACCCCCGCACCCCCAACACCCCCGCAGTTGCCCAGTGGCCATGGGAAAAAAAAGGGCCTCCTTCTTTGGTTGCTTGATTTCCCAAACCCTTCCCCCCCCCCAAAAAAAAAAAAGCAAGAAAAACGAATCGGGCGCCACCGGGCGACTGGGATTTGAGTGGCTTGTGGCTTGTGGCTTGCTTCCATCGACTTCCCCTCGAACCCCCGCGGTTGGGGAGACAGCCGTCTCGCCTTGCTGAGCAACTCGTCCAAGCCCTCCAGCACGGACACGTCAGCACCGGAGTTGACCGCCTGGGCGCCGAGGCGAGGTTTGAACAAAAATTCGCTGCGACCGTGGCGTGGCTGTCTTGGTTGCTGCTGTAACGACCCCCCTGCAAAGAGTGGCTAACTTTTTGGGGGTTTAGTAGAAAGCCCAACTTGATTTCAACCGAAAAGTTAAAAAGTCTAAAGATCCAACCCAATAGCAGTCAAGCTGTGTCTTCACACATCCTGTTGCTTTTAAACGTCCCTGGAACAAATCGAGAAACTATGTCCAGTAGTGAAATCGATTCCCTTAAAAACCAACAGGGGAGAACCAAAACAACTTCAGCAAATAGATGTTAATGAAAGGTTGCACAGGTTCTTACAACTCGTACCCGTCCGAAACCACTCGTGCCTTCTCGCGGGGATGTCTCAATCAAAGGTTCCAGAGCTGGTGGTGGTATGTGTATAAAAAGCAACGTACGATGCATCGTATGTGAGTGGCAGGCCGTGTACGCCACCTGTTTGCTGCAGCGACCCGAAATGGCAATAGCGACCTCCAGTTCCCAGGCGCATTGCGCCGGAGAAAGGCAAGAGTCACCAAACATGAATTCAAACAACACAGAACAGGGCTGTGGGGAATGACCACTTCTGTGATACAACAAAAAGGGCCTCCCAAAGACCAACCCCCCATATAAAGAGGGGATTTCCGTGTATCACAGAAGTGGGTATAAACCCCTTGATCCCACAACCCTGAAGCAGAAGGCATGGGCACATCTGCCTCAAGACCTGGAACCATGGAAGCGCCTGAAAGGCGACATGCTGCTGGCTCCCTACAGCTCAAGCCCCAGGGCCCTTACACACGCGGCTCACTTTGAGTCGCATCGATTGGACCAAAACAGGCATATGAAATTGAGCCAAAACCAGGGGTGCGATTTCAAGCTGTCCCCTGTTTATTTGGCTTCTTCCCAAAGAACATGGGATATGAATTCTGGTCTGCTGGCAACAGCTACCCCGGATGTGATTCGAAGCCCTTGAAACGAAAACGGCCACCTGCGCCTCAGGCCTCCCAAGTGAATCCCCGAACCCCCCATCCAAACCACCAACTGAGGGTTACCTATCTAACATTATCTAACATCAAACAAAAACCTTACAAAAAAAAACACTAAGAATAAAAACAAATACATGAATGAATGAATGAATGAATGAATGAATGAATGAATGAATGAATGAATGAATGAATGAATGAATGAATGAATGAATGAATGAATCAATGAATCAATGAATGAATGAATGAATGAATGAATGAATGAATGAATGAATGAATGAATGAATGAATGAATGAATGAATGAATCAATGAATGAATGAATGAATGGAATGGAATGGAATGGAATGGAATGGAATGGAATGAGAATGAGAATGGAATGAGAATGAGAATGAGAATGAGAATAAAAATGAGAATGAGAATGAGAATGAGAATGAACATGAACATGAACATGAAAATAAAATCAAAATGAAATGAAATGAATTGAATTGAATTGAATGAATTGAATGAATGAATGAATGAATGAATGAATGAATGAATGAATGAATCAATGAATGAATCAATGAATGAATGGAATGGAATGGAATGGAATGGAATGAAAATGAAAATGAAAATGAAAATGAAATGAAATGAAATGAAATGAAATGAATTGAATTGAAATGAATTGAATGAATGAATGAATGAATGAATGAATGAATGAATGAATGAATGAATGAATGAATGAATGAATGAATGAATGAATGAATGAATGAAATGGAATGAATGAAATGAAATGAAATGAAATGAAATGAAATGAAATGAAATGAAATGAAATGAAATGAAATGAAATGAAATGAAATGAAATGAAATGAAATGAAATGAAATGAAATGAAATGAAATGAAATGAAATGAAATGAAATGAAATGAAATAATGAATGAATGAATGAATGAATGAATGAATGAATGAATGAATGAATGAATGAATGAATGAAATGGAATGATGAAATGAAATGAAATGAAATGAAATGAAATGAAATGAAATGAAATGAAATGAAATGAAATGAAATGAAATGAAATGAAATGAATTGAATGAATGAATGAATGAATGAATGAATGAATGAATGAATGAATGAATGAATGAAATGGAATGAATGATGAAATGAAATGAAATGAAATGAAATGAAATGAAATGAAATGAAATGAAATGAAATGAAATGAAATGAAATGAAATGAAATGAAATGAAATGAAATGAAATGAAATGAAATGAAATGAAATGAAATGAAATGAAATGAAATGAATGAACGAATTGAATGAAATGAAATGGAATGGAATGGAATGAAATGGAATGGAATGGAATGGAATGGAATGACATGGAATGAAATGAAATGAAATGAATGAAATGAATAAAATAAATGAAATGAACTGAACTGAACTGAACTGAAATGAAATGAAATGAAAATGAAATGAAATGAAATGAATGAAATGAATGAAATGAATGAAATGAATGAATGAATTGCATGAACAAGTAAATAAAGACACATATAAATACATAAATACACAAATACATAAATACATGCACAAAAATCACTTGGCCCCCGGGCAGAGACCAGCTGGAGGTTGCCCTGAAGCATGTCTCGCTGATCCCCTCCGACCCCTACCAAGCCCGAAGCCAAAAGCCTCGGCAGGGGCTTTCAGAATCAAAGGGATGCGGTGGATACCCTAAATACCGCAAGTAAACCAACCACAAACCATGGGGATTTACAGGGTTTCCCGGCGATCCCGATCCCTTGCAAGATGCAGGGCGCCCACACAAGGCCCCCTAGTGATCCATTCCCCTTAAAACCAGGGGGAGATCGCACATAGCAAATGGACGTAGCAACCAAATTTCTGGTGGAACCTTACACGGGAACCCCCTAAAGGGCTGCGCGTTGCCGCGGCTTTTGCCCAAGGGCACGCTCGCCCAAGAAAAAAAGAGAGGTAAGTGGTAAGGCCAACTCGCCAAGATGCAACAGCAAGAAAAATGCAAGGAAGCCGTCCGAGATGGGGGACATTTTCGGGGTGTATTCCCAGGGCGCGATATACAAGCCTTTGACATGCCGCCGAAACTAGGCAAGGCCTGCTTTTGGGATGACCTACCTTCGTTCAACATGCTGAGAAGTGTAAGCAACAGATGTGGAACTGATTTATGATCATATTCTGTGGTGGGTCCATTTGGGGGCTACTTTTTGAGGGAACCTTTTGGGGGGGTAAAAGGATAAGCAAAAGGAAACCAATCATTTCGCAGGGGTGCCCCATTTCAAGCGTGCAAGCCATGATGCAGGTCATGAAGTCATTCTCAGTACCTGTTGGGCTCAAGCTTTCCTTCAGGCAAACACTGGTGCGAGCTCGCCATTTGCCGGCCTTGCTTGTTTTTGAATAACGCGTAGCCGCGAAGAAAAAAAGGGAAAAACAACCCAACAGCCAACCCAGCATCAACCCACTACACAGAAATGCAAGTAAACATAGCAAACCACTACACAGAACAACAGCAAGTCTCAAACAACCTAAAGAAACAACGAAAAACACGAAAAACGGCAAAACACATCACACACACACACACACAAACTCCACTCTTGTTCTCGAGATTTTGCTTTGGGAACCGCCCGCCGGGCAAAAAAAAAACGCCTCCCCTCCCGCCTCCTTGAAAGCAAACTCCCCGCAGCCCGACAGCCGCACCTCGTACGAAAAAGGGGACCATGGATCGTGGATGGAAGGATCAGGGCTGCCCTGTCACTAGTCACAGTCACTAGTCACTAGTGGTTTAAAAGGTTTCCCTGTCACTAGTTTAAAAGGTTTCCCTGGCACTAGTCACTACTGTGGATGGTTGCGAAATCTTGACTTCGCACCCCCTAAGAAACCCTGGTTTCTGATTCGATTCCCCGAACAATGTTTTCAACCATGGTTTCCAAGTGGTGCGAAATGGATTTTGTCCATCCACAGTAATTCCTCTAGTGGAGAGGTTAGAATAAGGGTACCCATTTTTTTCGGTCGTCCATTTTAGTAGGGGCGTGTCCTCCCCCGAGAAAGCGGAGAGAAGGGCACCTAGCTGGGGCACCTAGTAAGCCTCAGTTGGTGGTTTGGATCGGTTTCGGGATTTGACTCCTCCTTAACCACCACCACAAACCACCAATTGCGGGAAAGCTAACCTAGAGGACGTGGTAAGGTTGGGTCTTGTCGCCGGGTGCTTGGTAGTTTAGACTGGGGGCCCAAAGCAGCACCGGGGCCATTCACACGCAAAAGCCGTCTTAAAATAGACTTCCCCCAGTTCCCCCCCCTCTTCCATTTGCTTAAGCCCTGGAAAAAAATAACATACCCTCCCACCAACTAACATGGAAGTGCAAAAATGGCCTTTCCAAGAGGAAAGTAGTCTTTCTACAGGGGTCTGTGCACTTCCATGCTAGCTGGTGGGAGGGTATGTCCAGTAGTGAAATCGATTCCCATTCAAACCAAAATTCATCGAAGAAATGGCCAAAGCAACCCCAAAGGCACCTGGGCATCTGAAATCCAACCACATGGGTGAGCTTGTGGGTCATTTGAGCAGGAGCCATGTGTCAAAGTGGGAAGGCCCATGTGTTCCTTGTGGTTTTCCCTTCAACCTGAAAAGGGTACCGGCAAAACCAAAAACAACTGCTTGGGACGGGGTTTGGTGGAACATGGATCTAGGGCTTTGCCCCAACCATCCTTTTGAAGGCAGCTTCGAGCAAGGCTCACTTGGGGCGACGCTTGGGGCGAATGGAGTGACACTCCATTCGACCCCGGCTTCACGCCAGTTGGGATGGATGAAACCCTATGAATACTTGGATAAACTTGGATAAACTGTGAGAAGGGATGTACTGTGGATGGACGAAATCCTGCACCACCTAAAAAACCACTGGATTGATGATTCTCTTGTAAATACCAAGCAAGCAATTCTTCCCCGTGGTTTCAAAGTGGTCCAGGATTTCGTCCATCCACAGTATGACCCCAATCCTAAACAAAAAACGGGTCTTGTTGGTCCATGTGCTTCCAGAGACCTCCTGGTAGCTCCGAAAGGCTCCCTCTCTGACAGCAACAACTCGGATAGAAACCCTTCCGCAGCTCCCTTCCAAGCGCTGGCCGGTGCCCTGAGAACTCTCTCTTTTTTGGGGGTTCAAGAACCAAATCTCTCCTTTCAAACTCGCTCCTTCGCGCAAGCGCGAAAAAAATTAAGAAATAATAAAAAAGAAGGGGCTGCTGGGCTGCCGGTGTTTCCTGGGCTTCCGGCGAGCCAACGCCCCGTCTCGGACTTCCGCTCCACACCTCGGCGGCGGACTAGGCGGGGAACCGACCCCCGCAGTTGGGAAACGGGCGGGCGGGAAAATGGGAAAATGGGAAAATGGGGGCGGGGGGGGGGGAGCCATGTACAGTTGAAAGTAAGGTGGCATCATTCCCTCGTGGTTTCGTAATCCCCTTTACTTGAAATGAAGGGAATTCATCTGTGTTCACTAGTTGTGTTTACTGTTAGGGCACCCAAACATGGGGTTTGAAAGAGGAAACCCACGCTTTTTGTTTGTTATTTCTGTTTGGGGGGGGGGTTGGCGGGGTGGAGGTGGCTTCAAGCAACACACACACACACCCATGTACAATCTCAGTTGCCCAAAGGACCAGGGACTAAAAGGTTAACCTTTTGGGGGGTATGACTGAATGTAAAACTGGAAAACCAAAAGGTCCAAAGGTTGATTCGCTTTGGGCCACTGAGACGCAAAAAAAAAAAAAAAACGCCGAGGGACAAAACACGCCGAGATCCACTGAACTGGGATGGACCAACCAGACCGCACCAACGTTCGACCGAGTCACCCGTCAGGGCTGGGGGAAATGGAACCCACGAATCTTTGATACGTTACAAAAAGGGTCGAACCCCAAAGACTACCACCATTTAAACAGGGGATTCCCAAAAGTATCGCAGAAGTGGTTGGATTAACTCCGAGCGACCCCACAACCCTGCCCTTCAACTTTTACAGGGGTGGCTAAAGGATTTGGATCCTCCAAATCAGCTGGCAGTTGAGTGTTGTTTTGCAACTTGCCCATGCGTCCTTTGATTTGGACCCATGTACAGCAAGGGTATGATGTCCAAAATGGGGATCAGTCTCACAAACCGGTTCCCTTTTGCCCTGTACATATCATCTCGCGAACAGAATTCGCACGCAATTCTTGCGAAAGACTCTCCTTGACCAAGTTTATTTTGGGCAAGCAATAGCTGGCAAAGGGGAGGTTGGTGCAGGGGCCCTCAGCTACGAAGAACACACACACACACAACCTCCGACCCAAACTGGAGCTATGGGTTCAAAATCTTCCGGCGGCCGAAGGCCACTTTCTTTTTCGCCGCGAGTCAGCATCTGCGGTCTTCACGCTCGTCTTCGGAGCGGGCCAGGCGCGTGGCAACAATGGCGCCTGGCGGCAGAAAGGGAAAAAGGAGCGAGCCGAGAGAGTCCAAACTGTGCTGCCCGTTTAAACGGGGGATCCCCCGCTAAAAGTTTAACTTTTAGTGGGTTAAATGGAAACTACCACCGAAAACTAAAGGCTAAAAAGCTAAGTGGATGGGAGCCACCAAGCAAAGAGCGCTCCTTCCAGGGGGCCGACCAGTTCGAGACCTGTGCGATGGTTTTTCCGTGCTCTTCTTTTTTTGGGTGGTGGTGGTGGTGGTTGGGGGGGGGGGGAAATTGGTACTGAGTTTGGTTGGGGGGTATCCTTTGCACTTTCGGCCACCTGGGCTCCACATGAGCGCCACGGTCCAAATACTTTCCTCCAGCATTTATTGGGAAAGTCGCGCGCGTCGCCTGGTTGCCATCCCCCATGCCCGTCCCACATGGACCGAAAGGCACTGGACATATTTGGCCAAAAGCTCTCCACGACCTTTCCCCATTTGGCGGTTGGGCGGCTTGGAGTGGGAGTAGCTTCCCATTTGGCGCAAAAGGGGCTGGGGTTCAACTAACCCACAGAAGAGAGACTGAAAAACCATGGCGTGTGCGGGTTATCACCAGGCTTGCTAACCACTTGTGAAGTACAATACCCCTTCAAGTTTGTACCGCATTCTCCGAGGGCCATGCTTGTCCTGCGAACGAGACTTTTACCCCTGGTCGTCAAGTTGGTGGCTTGCATTGGTGGTGTGGGATTTGAGTACACTTGATATGAGGTTTACCCCTCCATGTCACCAATCCAAACCACCGATTCGGCTCCAAACGACCAATCCTCGGTAACATTCTGCTCCTCTGCTAAAAGTGACTCACTTTTAGTGGTTTAATACGGAAAACCCATTAATTAGCAAAAAGTCAAAAGTCCTAACATGCCTTGGCAAAATGCACCAAAGAATTGGAGGTAAACCCCAAATAAGGCCTTATTAGGGGCCAACCAAAAATAAAAAGGTGAGAAAGGGCACCAATCGCTGGGGACCCTAGATGCCAAAGCCTCTGGACTGATCTAGTATCTTCAAGCGTCTTGGAAGCGGACCGATACAAACTTTACTTTGACTGGTAAAATGTAAAATGTATCCTAAGTCTACCCCAGCAATTGGAGGGATCAACCGCTTCCCCATCGCCCCGCTTCAGGATCCATCTTCACGCCGTGCCTCCAGCGGCCAATGCCGCGGTCAAGGCGCCCCCTACCAGCCCCACAGCGCCCAGCGCCAGTGCGGTCTTGTGCTCTGAGACAAACTGGCCTCCGGCGCGAAAAACGAGGCGTTGGCCATGTTTTATTTGCTTGTATTATTATAATTTTACCATTATTATGACTGTTGATGTTGTTATTATGAGGAGCATTCTTACTATTATGATTTATATGAAAAGAAAGAAACAGGTTTATATATATATATATGTCAATATAAGCCCAAACAACACAGAAACAACTGAGAAACCAAAGAAAGTGAAGAAGTTTCAAAATGCTTCAATGGTTGATCAAAACTGGGGCTGAGCCAGTATGATCTCGCAAAGTGGCACCTCGCAAGCTCCAGCCATGGTATCACAGAGTCCCAAAGCCTGCGACGCAGAATCAAAGGCGCGGACACGTGCAACAACTCATTCTGCCATGTTCACTTCATCTAGTTTGCTTTTTCAACAGAAGGAGGCCGAAACCGTCCCCTTGGCGTTGTTGATTGCAGCTCATGTTGTGGGCAAGCTAGAGGATGCTTCGCAGCACCTGAATCCAACTTTCGCCCAGGCCCGAGCCACAAGCTAACTGTTGCCGGTTTATCCCGCAAGCCAAGGAGAGCTGGCAAACGTTAGTTAAGCGCGGTCATTTCCACCAAGATGGACCAAAAGGGGAAACCCGAAAATGTTGAAAGGTCGCCTTGGGCATTCTGGAGAACCAACATATCTCGCTTGTCCTTTTGGCGTCCCTTTTTAAACAACCCAAAAGGGTGCCTCAAAATCCAAGGGCTTTCCCTATTCCCTTCACCCGGTCTCTTCAAAAACCGGGTGAATGTGTCCCATAAGGTTGGCCCATTTGGACGGATCTACTAGGTCCAGCAGAATCCAGCGGAGGTATTAGAAAAATTCCTTTCTGGTCTATTTTAGTAGGGGGGATTCCTCCCAACCACAAAAGTTGGTACCAAAGGGCACCAATCGCTGGGAGACCTAAACTGGGCGGCTTCGGAGAGAGCTCGAGCTCCGAGGCTCGCAGGTGCACAGGCCACTCCGATCAGCTCCGAGGGGCAATTTTGCTTGGTTGCGAAATCTGCTCCCCTGCTAAAAGTGACTCACTTTTAGTCGTTTAATACGGAAAACCCATTAGTTGGCGAAAAGCTAAAGTCCTAACAGCAAAATGCACCAAAGTTTGGATTTAGAAAAAAGAAACGCCCCAAAACAGCAACAGCCAATCTAGAACTGAGAGCCTTCTCAGCTGAATTGCTGCAATCCAAGTCTCATGCTATGTGTTCATTCCCCGTAAAAATGCGGGGGTTTGATTCCTGACTTCCCATTTTTCGGGGATTCTCCTTGGATGGAAACAAAGGCCAAAATTCAACATGTGTAATGATGACCAACCAGTGTATTCCGAACAAAGGAAACCACCAATTGGATGGTAGGTATACTTTTCGGATAACACGTTCAAACTTTTGCTGGGAGATAAACCATCCCACTGGCGGCTTCCTTTCAGGAATCCCCCCAAAACTCTAGGGGGTTGATTCTTCTTCCATTCTTTTCAGCCATCCTTCCTTTCAAACTTCCATTTCCCCGGTTTCTTTTTCGTGGTTGTCTAGAAAGAAGGGTCCTTGGAATGGAAAAGAAAGCTATAATCCCACTGGTGGGAATCCCCAAAACCGGTTTGTTTGTTGTTTTTCCCGGGAATCCCCAAACCGGTTTGAGACTTGTTCCTTTCGGGAATCCCCCAAAACCGTTTTCGTTGAACTATTTCTACATACATGTGTATATATTTAATAAAAAAATAAACAATCACAAAAAGAAAGAAGAAAAAAACACCACGACTCGCGTGGTCCCTCCGTCCATCGGTTTCGCCCCTTCGCCCCGCCTCCCCGCTCCGTGAGTCGCCGCGTCTCCGCGCGCAGCTGCTGCGCCACCCCCAGGGTCAGGTGTTCTCGTCCGCCGAGCGGCGGCCTCGGTGGTTATCAACATATGGCTGTGGGTTAACCCCAAAATGGCTTGCCCTGGTTAGTGGAAACGTGGACTAAAACCCGCAGTCCCCTGGTGGTGTAGCTTTGACCCATACCCATATAACTCTAGGGGTATCTTCCATTTCCATTCTTTCCAGGGATCCGGATCTTTTCAGGAAACCATCGAAAACCCAAAAAAGCCGGTTTTTGAAAAGAACGATGGTTTAAAAGAATGGGGAATCAACCTCTAGAATAACCGGCGGCTGGCTCTTGGTGCTGGCGTTCTTTTGAGCTTGCTAAGGACTTCCTTCGGCGTTTTTTGGGAGGGGAATTACCTGTTTTGAGGGTGGTTTAGAGGGAAATCAAGAGGACAAGCACCAGGTTTGGTTGTGGTTGTTTGGTTTCCCTCTGGCAAAACATCAATGAGACCAGAAATGGTTCTGAAGCAAAGGAAGTTGGTTCAAAACCGGCTTCCACACCGGGTGTGCCGTTTTTGAGAGTAGCCCTCTTTGGCGGATTTTTGTTATTTTAGTTTTTTTTTAAAGGACAAGCCATCCTTGGTGCGCTAACCATGTCCCCAACCAGAGCTCCGATCGGAAGCTCCAAGCGGCTCGGGCAAAAAGCTGGATACAGCCTACAATCCTCCCGGGCTTGGCTCCGCTATCCCCCCTACCTTAAGGGGGTGGGGACCCGGTCCCACAATTCCATTTATTCAGTCTTCCCCACAAAAGGGAAAATGGAACCCTAAATGGAATTCCAGGGGTCACCCCCTCCCCCAATTCCATTTTGAAGGGGGTGGGGATGCTCCGCTAAAAGCAAACAGGGATCCGGATGCATTAGACACCTGAACATTGCAACTCGTAAATGGTGGTTTCAACTTTATTTTGGTGTTGAAAAAACAGCATGTTTCAATTGGTTGCAACATGGAGATCTTTTAAGGAGCCCTGGCAAATTTGCGTAAAAAAAAATAGAGTTACAAGGTGAAACAAACCCACGGCCCATTTTTCTACCCCAGCTCCCTGAAGCCAGAAGCCCCCTTCAAAACAGCTGGCAGCTTCCCAGAAACCACCGGCTTGACAAGGGAAACCTCGAATTCCCTTGGTATGTGGCTGTGGGTCAAAGCCCTGCACTGCTGGTGAACATCAAAATAGGTGGCACATAGGTGTTCATCCACCCCAAAATGGAGGCATAGGTTATGACCCGTGGCCATTTCAGCGACTTCAGCGCTCCAACCCCACTGGAGCGAGGCCACGCCTTTGGCTTTTTTCCAAGCGGCTCCTCCTCAGCAGCAGCTTCGGAGCCATCGGCAGCTTCGGAGCTTCGCGCCTCGAACTCCTCGAGACGCAAGGCGAACTCCTCGATCATCTCCTCCCAGCTCGCTCCCTTAAGTGAAACCAGATGTAAAACCTCCGATTTGGAGCCCCCTATATTGACGCATACCCATGTGACCCCTGCAAGCATTACAAACAAAAGCAAGACAGCCTATCAATAACTTAAGATTTCTTCCCTCACGCATCCCCAAAACAATTGCTTTAAGCGGAAACCAGCCACTTGCGGTGGCCCCCTTGCAAAGACAGATGCAAGCATCAGCTGCCAAGTACGCTTTCTGTCATAGAAAGCAAGGGCCGGGCAACACCCTTCTTCGAAGGGAAAGAAACGCTGGCAAACACACCTGGCAGCACTGAAAGCGGAAGCGGCCAAGGCCAAAAAGGAAAGGTGGCGCTGAGGCGACACAAGCCGCACCCACCCCTGGAGAAGCCTCGGACGAGGAACCACACATGCAGCCAGCGCCGCCTGATGGCAGCACAAAGATCCCGCAGAGCTCCCGCATCAGCTCCGCACGCAGGATGGTAGGGTCAGCGCACTCCCGCCGCAGCCTGGGACAGTAGGCCCCGGCCCAGTTGTCACAACAAGCAGGGGCAGGAAGCGCACCCTGCGAGCGGCACGCGGGTCAAATGCCTGCGGCGAGGGCCTGTCACGGCCAAGTCAACTGCACTGCAGCGGGACCGGCTTGGTAGCGCGGCGGGAAACTGAATCCCACGCCGAGCTGACATCCCCACGCGGCCAAGCATGCATCGAATGCTCCCCCGCGCCAGGAAGGCACGGGGAACGTGCCCGGACAATTGGGCATCGATCACCCTCCAGCCTGCAGCGGATGCGCGCATTTGCAGCCCACCCGCACCGGTGTTCCAGGGGCCAGAACCCGCGCAATGCCTCACCAATGCGACTCTTTCCGCACGCGCAGACCCGCCACGGCCAGCGCCGGAGGTGGCTGCCGCCCCCGGCCGGGGCGGCAACCAGCTTAACCATGGACAGCCAAAAGATGCTTTTGGCACCATCGAGATCTCCGTTGAATGAATCCCCAACCAGGGAGAACCAGGCACACCAACCCCGGAAGAACGAGGCACGCCCTTACCTCCCAAGCAAGGTGCGCCCAAAAAGGTCTGCCCCCCCTGCTCTTTCTAGCGAGCCCCCCTGGCTTGGCACCCGCTCACACACCATCGGGAAGTGAGGCGGTTGCTCAGCTTCTCAGCTTCTCTCTAACTGGTGGTTTGGATTGTTTGGATTTGGATTTGAAACCCATTTCACAACTAAACCACCGATTCTGCTCCAAACCACCCTTTCTGAGGGAAGCTGAGTTGGAGCCCCAGCGTCCGCATCCGTCCAAACAAATGCCGCGGCCTTCTGCGTCGGCGGCATGGGCAGGCATGGCACGCCCACTTCCTGGCGCGCGGCTTTCCCAGGACGACCCTCCGGGGGTCGCATGAAAAAGAGTCCTTGACAAACAGTATCTCCCCTCAAAAGACAAAAGTCTTCCCTGGATTAGTTATTCGAACCTTAGAAGTCATTTGTTTAACTATTATTTCAATATTATGTCTATCTGAAATATTTACTCCTTGAGATTGGGTCTCAACACGGGCACTCGGAGTCATTGCTTGAAGGGGTACTTAGTAAGTGGTAAGCAAGTGTGGTTAGAACCAACTTACCATGGATATAAGTCTCCGTTCAGTGGGTTGCAACCCGGCTTTCTACCCAAAAAAAGAACGTGCCCTGCCCCATTGAAGTAATTTGCTCCAGCCGCCCTCCCCTCCCCTCCCAACCCTTTTCCTCAAGAACCCTCAGGAAGGCAAAAAGAAGATCACGAGCACAACCCAAGTCTTGCGGGTACCCTGAAGGCTGAAAAAACATTCCAGAAACGAAAACCGAGAATATAGTGGGCCCTCTATGCTGACAGGTTTCCTGAAGGAGAAAACCCAAAAACCTGCTTTGCAAGGATTCGAATCCCTCAAATTCAGCATTTAGTTGGGTGATTCTTGGCTGGCATCCTTTGAGGGACCCGATCTATCACATTCCGCAAATGGCCCTCCCTTTTCACGCTGGAAACCCACGGTGAAACCGAAGAAAAACCATCTTTTCGGAGGGCTCAACCTCCAAAAAAGCACAAACACACAGATGGTCACAGATGCATTGTGGTTGTGTGTGTGTGTGTGTTTTATTTTGTTTCTTTTTGTGTTTTTTCTTCTCTCTTCCGTTTTTTCCTTTGGGTCCCGGCGGGTCCCCGGTTTTGGCACCGCCCGCCCCACCCATTTGCCACATGCCCCCGATTCGCCGAAGCCATGCGCCTCCGCGAAGTCGACGATGAAGGCCGCGGTGAAGGCCCGCTGCTGCCAGGGCGACGCAGCGCCATCGCAGGGCACCGCCATGAGCCTCGCGAATGCCGGGGCCCGGGGCCACAGAATCGGTGCAGCAAGCAACCAGCTGAGCCTGGTCGACGTTGGAAGGGGAGCAACATTTTTTTTTTGCAGCTAAGTGGTTGGATTTCAACCGCTAAACCACAATAAGCAAAAATGTAACATGTGTCCCAACAACAACCATGTTAGCTTGAAATCCAGGTCTTCCCTGTCTTCAGGTTCCGGTCGCCGGGTGTCTTTGGGCAGGCGCCGTTTTTCTTGGGGCCCGGATCTTCCCACTTTTCAAGCTGCATTCTGAGCTTGGGGTCGTGGAGCTGATGGAGTCTTGGGCATTTCCCGGCGCAAAACGCCCTGAGTCGAACCTTTCTCTCCCGAGAATCCAAGAGCACCGCAAGAAGGGAGGCTGGGACGCCCTTCGGCGGGTTCAAGACGCAGAACCAAATCCAAGCTGAAATCCGAGCGACCAGCGGCTTGCAGAAGGAAGTACGGACACGCGTCCACCTGACCCACAACCCAGCCTGCATGTTGTTTCTTGCTCGGAACGAGGTGTCCCCCGCAATGAGAGTCTTCCCTTCGGCCCGCACCATCAAGAGACTTCCAACAGAACTCCGGTTTTCGGCTGACAAAACTTTAGACACCGAGAGCTGCTCTTCAGCTTGCCTTCGCACATCGTCGTTGTACAGCCGCTGTGCGATCACCGGCAAGTCGGAGTTCACATCCTAGCGGACAGATACATTGTTTATTGCACATGCCGCCGGGCAAGCGGACAGGTTTGCTGATTTTGTTCCAAGCCTTCCGGGCACCCATTCCAAAACAAGCACACAAGTAGAGTTTGCCTTCCCCAAAAAAATGTATGCAGCTCGCCAAGAAAGGGATCGGAAACCACCTTAGAAGGGGCCTGAAAAAGGACAATGCCCTTGAAAAATATTCACCCCGGTTGGATCAGCCTCGCGGAGGATGACCTTCCTTCGACCCGATTCGGGTAGAAATCAGTCCCGAGCCGAGTTGAAACCAAAGGGATGGAGCAAAGTCAGTCTTGGACCCCTGAGCGCTGGCCGAATGACCTCCATTCTTGCAATAGTGCAACCCCTGCAGTAAACCTGGCGGATTCAACAGGGGGATTCTTTCTAAAATGGGACACCCCAGTTTAGAATCAGCCCGTTGCCCATGGATTGCTCTATTTGTTTTCTGGGGGGGGGGGGACAACTAGGTCCTCCAGTAGAGAGGTTAAAATTCGGGGAACCCTCCCCCAAAAAAAGAAACCGCAAAAGTTGGCACCAATCGCTGGGGGACCTAGACACACAAAACACACATCTAAGGTGTTCCCCGTGGCCAGGTCGGTCACACACACACACACTTCCCTCTGGGGGAACTACAGAGGGGCAGGTGGGAAACGAAATTCCAAAGCCGAAACCGAAAAGCTCCTCATAGCAGCAGTCGTCGTCTTCGATCCCTCCCGGCGGCGGCATGGGGGGCCACAGCTCCAGGCGTTGAAAGGCCGCCATCATCGCGTTCCGCACCCCTGAAGTCCAAAGGCGAGAAGGCGGGGCTCAACGTAGGGAAGCCGTTTGGTTTCTTCTTCCTCTACTTTTTCTTCTTCCTCTACTTCTTCTTCTGCTTCTTCTTCTACTTCTTCTTCTTCTTCTTCTTCTTCTTCTTCTTCTGTGGGGGTGGGGGGGGAGCGTTGGGAAAGGGAGCGGCAGGAAGCCAAAGCAAAAAACCGAAAGGACGCGAAAAAGAACCCGAGACGAATCGAAGCCAACTCTGAACTTGAGAAACTTGCCAAAGCTTGGCTTCCTTCGTGCCTGCGGTTTCGATTGCACGAGACCCCCGCACCCAAGAAGCCCTACTCAGTCAGGGTCTTTGCCCAGATCAGGTTGACTAAACCCCGGTTTATCAACACGGGGCTGGTTTTGGCCCCTTGAATCCCTACCTGGTTTACTCATCTGAGTCGTAGTCGAAACCCGATTATGACCGGATCATCTACCCGGGTTTTGATCGTGCACATCCGGTCTTCTTCCCAAAGAGTATGAAGCCAGGGCCTTTCAGAGCAAAAAGAGCATAAGTACAAGCCCGGCAATCAAGAACTGGGGGCTTACTCATCTGGGGCCAGCTTTCGGGCTCCCGCGCCCGGCCCGAGCCTTCCACCATGACCACCCGGAAGGCTCGCTCGTGCTCCTCCACCAGCAGCGGGTCGCCCCCTCGCAGCCGCTCCGCGAAGATCTGCACCTCCCGTTTGACCGGGATCCTTACACTTTACACCTGAACATTGCCTTGTAAATGGTGGGTTCCCTTTATTTGTGGTGGAAAAAGCCATGTTTCAAAACGGCAACATGTATCCTGTAAGGAGCCCTGTTTAAAGAACAAAAACATGAAGCACGCAAAAACTGAGCTGTCCTCACATCCCCCGCTAAAAGTTTAGCTCTTAGTGGGCTAAACGGAAAAAGCCACCAAACACTAAAAAACTAAAAAGCTTTTAAGGGGATGGCTGGGAGCCACCAAGAAACGAGGACTGGGGGGTACACAGAAAAATCCCTCCGTGAGCTGTTTCGACTGGGTGAAACCTTTTGACTGATACAGAGAAAATTCAACTTGTTGAGCGACGCGCCGAAAAAGGGAGTGGGAAAAAAAGGGAGGGGGGATGTTAAAAGAGATGCCCAAAATTGGCCGTTTGGATTGGTTTGGACTTGGAGTTGAACCCCTGCTTCTTGTGTGCCCTTGGCAAATGCCTCCAAACCACAAAGCAAGAATCGGAGGGACGGACGGCGCATTGACCAACGTGTTGTCCGGCTCTGTTCCTTATTTCGCCCACCCAAAAAGTATTCTCATGTTGGGAGGGAGGGAGGGAGGGAGGGAGGGAGGGGAGGGGAGGAGGGGGGGGAGGGGAGGGGGAGGGAGGGGAGGGGGGGGGAGGGGAGGGGAGGGGAGGGAGGGGAGGGGAGGGAGGGAGGGGAGGGAGGGAGGGGAGGAGGGGAGGGGAGGGGAGGGGAGGGGAGGGGAGGGGAGGGGAGGGGAGGGGAGGGGAGGGGAGGGGAGGGGAGGGAGAGAGCAGGCATGATGCACCCGCTGACATCATCCAAAGAATGATGTGTGGTCCCCCAATGCACGAGAATCCCAGCATCCCTTCGCCTGGGGCTCGGCCTCAGCGCGGGCCTTCAGGCGAACGCTCTTCTCCTTGGAGATCTCCTCTCCGACAGCCAAGTACCCCAAAACGACCCGCCACATCGCTCGCTCTCCGGGCGAAAGGCAAAAACGGAGCCGGGCGGCGGTCGGCTCCCCTTCAGCATATGTTCAAGCGCGAAATCTTCTTCGCGCGAAGTACGCTGGGCGGACGGCCGCAACGCCTGGATCAACGGGTTTTTGGGGATTAACAAGCCCTACGGCCAAATAAGGTCTGGGCAGGTCTTGGGGGCGTTTCTGGAAAGTGATTTTTTTGGAGAGGGTGCGGTTTGTTCGTGCTGGGCAAATTTCTAAAGATTCTCCTCCGGTGCCTCCGGCGAGGAAACCGGAAAATCCCCCCCATGGTAGCCCCTGCCCACATAGCAACGGCCTGGTAGGCGCCTAGGTAAGGACAACTCGCAAGGCACTGGCATACGGCGCCATGTCTCGGTTGCGAAATCTGCTCCCCTGCTACACGTGCAACTTTTCGTGGTTTAATACGGAAAACCCATTCGTTGGATCAAAAAGTTGTTCAGTCCTAACATCCCCTGGCAAAATGCGCCAAAGATGTCCTTAGAGACCTCCTGGGAGCTCCAAAGCTCCCTCTTTGGCTCCAGTTGGATCCCCCAGCTCCCTTCATCCAGCTCCCTTTTCGGTCTGACTGAAATCCGTGCTGCGGAACCCATCTACGTGCAACCAATCCGACCGAAAAAGGACTCCAACCGAAAAGGTGCGCATGAATGCCGCGCCTAATGGCGAGCACTAGAGTTTGTCCCCCCCGAAAGCCACTATCCGCATAGGAAAGTGTGACATAATGTTTGCAAGTGGTGTACCCATGTTTATCCCACAATTCACAGGCGCTTTCCCAGGACTGGGCTCTCTGTTTACAAATGCAAGTTCCTATACTCCCATTTGCTTTTTCGCCCCCTGTACAAAATGAGAACATACGTCCAGTAGTGAAATCGATTCCAACTTTAAAACTAACTAATCGGCCAAAAAAAATAGTTGCAACCAAAAACGGATTTATATATATATATAATACTAACTCCCAATGGTAGAATACCCCAGCTCCCCCCCCCCCCGCCCCCCACCCCAAAGGACCCTTCTCCTCCTCCCCCGCCGGCTCAAAGGAGGCCAAACGGAAGCGGCAGCCGCTCAGCTGGGCATAGGCCTTTCGCGGGACCCACGGGCCCGCGGGTGGAGGTCTCTTGTGGGGTGGGTGGACGGCGAGAGGGAAGTTTGATGTGTGAGAGGGATGTTCGAGTTTTGATGAGCGGTTCTAGCTTCTACCAAAAAAAAACTTGGAAAGCTCTAAAAACTCCAACTGCTAAAGAGGGGAAAGTGAGTTGCGAGAGGGGGTTCTTTTATTTGTTTTAAGAGCGGTTCTAACTTCTAGCCTAAACTCTTGGAAAGCTATAAAAGTTCTAACTTCTAAAGAGGGGAAAGTGATTTGCGAGATTGATGGGCTGGCGTTTTTGATGGGAAACCAGCAGGAAAGGACGTTTTTGTGCAGGCTGCCCCGTTTCAAGACAAAAGACATCCCGCATGCCAAGCCAGGCTGCCCTCAACAAAAAACTCACCTCCCGCATATTGGAGCTCCCTCCGTTTTGAGACAAACCAATATTGAGCTTTGTCAGCATGGCGAACCCTTTTTGCATGGGTTGATAACCTGATGTTTAAATCCACCGTTTTACGGGCTGCCTTAAGTGGGCCAAGCACGGGTGGACATGATCATTTTGTCCCCCGGCTTGAGGTCCAAAGCTGCCCAGGCCCATTTTGGAAGACGATGCTCTTTTAGAAAAGGAAGACTGCGCACCTCCGTGGCCAATCATCAGACAAGTCAAACTGTCGCATCTCTGCTTTGCAGAGTTACCATTTTATCGGGTCCCGAAATAGTTGGCGCCTTGCCACTTCTATAGCATTACCCCAGAGATGAGCATGAGTCAGAATCTCACCCTGGCACTACAGAGGTCTAACCCAAACCCATGCACCTATGGCTGAGACTGTTCCTCACTAACCTTTGACTTCGAGTGTGACTGCAGCGTGGCTCACATGGAATCTATCTTTAGGGTCTGTGCTTGATGCCTCACTGTAGGTGCCCTTCTTGGAACGCCAAAAGAAAGCTAAACTTGTGCAAGAATTGCTGGAATCCCAATTGGAGCATCCTTGGTTGTGTCTCAACCCCATGCAGCGTTCTGCTGCAACCCTGATGCTCTTCAATCCACAGTTTGGGCAAAAGCCCAAAGCCGAAATCGACAAGATATTGGATGTTTCATGGGTAAATTAGCTGTTATTATAATTATGGTTGACTATCTTACAATGTATGTTGAACGAATTTTGTCAAACAAATAATATTGAAGGAGCAAACGATATAAAAACAATAACTTACCTGCAGCATTAATTTGCTTATATCATGAGACGCCGAAGCTGCCTGGCTGGCTTCAAGCAGCGGGGCAAAGTGGCGGAAGCAGCTGGTGTCAAGGAAGATGCCTCACAGTTCGGCAGCGCGAGGCTCTGGCAAAAAAAAAGCCCTGCCTTTCCCACCGGTGAGGTAGTCGGTTTCTTTCTCCTAAAAACTCTTGACCCCCCCCAAAAAAAAAGAAAGAAAAAACACAGAAAGAAACGAGAAAAGAAGAACAGCGGCTCCAGGAAAATAGCAACAACAAAAAACGTGATTGTTTTGGTGGGTATTTGGCGTAAACTTATTGGATTCATTGTCAGAGCCCCTGATGAAAACACAAGTGATTGCGGGCCTTCCGCTGGTGCACTTCCGGCTTGACTCTTTTCGCATCCGAGATGCCGGCTTCTTCTGACTCAGCACCTTGCCCCGATCCATCAGCCGCGCTCGCCATAATGAAGCAAGTGTCAGCGGTCGTGTCTGCGAGGGAAAAGCTTTGACTGCAAGGTACCAAGATCTCTGCGCGGGCGGCTTCACTGTACAAATGCCGCCGTACGCAATCTCGCACTGAGCCCATGGGCACAGAAAACTTTGCAAAACGCGGGATTGGACAACAATCCCGCCCCATATCCGCACAGGGAATCACACGCTCCGCTGAGAGTTTGTTTCCTTCTTGGGAAGGACTGTGGGAAGTTTTTGGTAGTCGATCGGGACCCCGGGCAATTGGAGCCCCCTTCAGTTCCGGGGATGCACATGGCGGACGGACGCCTGCTTTTGGGAATACCACCTAGATTTCATTTGTTGACCCCGTGACTTGGTTGCTGTTGACCCCCTGCAAAAAGTTTAACTTTTTTGGGGTTTAGTGGAAAACACCTTTATTTCCCCAAAAGTTAAAGTCTAAAGATCCAACCCACAAGCAGTCAAGGTGTTTGGCCTTTGCGCGGGCCCGATCAACATGATGGGGGATCGGAAAGAACCAATCAGCCTAAGGAACTTTTAAGACTTTTATCAGCCGGTGCAACTGAGCGTGTCCTTTTCTGAGGTATCCCCTTGTTTGGCGGTTTTCAAGGTAAACCAAAGGAACGACACCACCATTTTGGTGGGTAAGAGACCCCCAACTCACTTCCTGAGTAAAAGAAGTCTAATGTTTTGTTTACCACTAAAATGGTCGTCCAAAAAGAATTGTCCATCAATCTATGCCAATCTTGTGTTGACTGTGCCCTGACATCCTGCAAAAGAACCCTGCTACGTTGACCCCATCTGGGTTTAGTCGGGGGAATCAGACCACTTCTGCAGGGGCCAAAAACCACTCCCGCTATGAATAAACATTGTTGCTTGATTCGTATGGGGTCAACAACACGGTTGCTGTCCGCTCCCCTGCTAAAAGTTTAACTTCAAGTGGTTTAATACGGAAAACCCCTTAGTTGGCAACAAAAATGTTCAGTCCCAACATCCCTTGGCCATTTTGCGCCAAAGAACGCTTCTGCTTGAAGGAACCCCGCAAAGCTTCTCCCCCGCCGGCCGAAAAACCGAAGAATCTGAGCCGCTGAGCCGCGCGGAGCCGCTGGGGCGGCGGCAGATGCCCTCCTTGCCGTTGAGCTCCGGCTTCGCTTGGAGGCCCTGCAGGCGAACCAGGGCCCCCGGCCCCAAGGACCTCGGGCGCCGATCTCCGTCGCCCTCTGCGTCGGTATCGGGCTTTTCGAGAAAGCGGCGAGCGGAGAGCGGAACGCGGGAGTGGACCAAGCCGGCTTCTTTTTGGTGCAGAAACCACATCATCCCTCCCTTTTTGGGGGAAAAACGGGAAAAACACATGGAGACTATGGGTTCCATTTTTTGGATATTGGATCAATCCGTCCAACCGAGCAAAACCCAAAGGAACACTATGGGTTCCAATTTTTTGACAACCCCAAAGTGGACTCAAACCCAGGGGTGCTTCATTTCCCCCAGACCTGAATTCTTGGGGAGGAGGGGGTTAAGTCTGCCTTGGGGTAGGCAAAAATGGAACCCACCAAAATGGTTTGGATGTCGTAGCACACGGGGGCCAACGAGGGGAAGAACGGGTGAAATCCACAATAAGCGCATCCAAACCGTTTCTAGAAGTCCGTTTGGCGCACCCTCCAGCTAAAGAATGTCCACTAGGTGAAATCATCGGTTCCCTTTAAAACCAACAGGGCAAAGTACAAAATATGTGCTTCAGCAAATGGAACACAATCTTCCTTGCGCCGGCAAAAAAAAGAGAGGCCGTGGCTGCTTTTTCTTCAGCTCAACTGGCAATAGTGTCTTGAACACATGAAGCGATACCACCCCCTTATTGGGAGAAAGTGGGAGGCACCCCCACTCCTCCATACATTCTTTACGGAAAGGACCTTCGTCATGGATGACTTTGGGCTTGTTCTAATGTGCGCAGAATGAATGCCGTGGGACTGGATTCCTTGTGCCATGTGCTTCTCACTGTACAACAGCAGCCCGTCTTAGCGCCAAACCATTTGGGCGCCATTGCTTCATTGGCAAGTCAACAAGCACATTGCACAAGCACGTCGCAGAAAGCGAAGCCAATGCCCCTTGCATGGCATTGCGTCGTGAGTTGCTGCGTTGTGTTGTGAGACACTGCGTGGGAAAAATGTGGGACCAAGAACTTGGCTGACTTGTGTCAAGCTTGTTGCTTCATCATGATCTTTGATACCGAAGCTTATGCAGCGGCAAGAAGAGACAATCATGGCCACGTTGGCTCAATCTCTAGCCTCCTTTTCCTCGCTCTGTGCGGTTCGTCCACCCATGTCCGTGGAAACTTCCGCGCTCGCGGGCATCCGGCACCCAGTTTGAGCGGAGTGCGCCCTCTCTCAGGCGGACAGCCGACGTCGCGTGGGAGCCAATCGGACGTGTCAGGCTGGGCCAATTTACAAGTTGTAGGCAACAGGGGGGGGAGAGCAGCTCGTACTCAACGCCACTCTTGTGTCCCCCGTCAACCGGGCCTGGCGCTTGCGGGCCAGTTCGTTTCCTTGCAAGGGGGTCCGCTACTGGAGCAGGTCACGGTTTTGGCAGAAGTCCTGGTGCACTGCTCCTAGCCTAAGAACCCTCGAACCCAAATGAAAAACGGTCTCAGCACTCACGAACATTTTTCTCCGGGTTTGCATGAAGGCTGCACATCCTCAGGTCACACGCGGTGCGCCTGGCACCTGAGGTGAAGACATTCCCCTTACATGTGCTTGGAAGGCACGACAGGCGTGTTGTGGGGACTCACAGGCGCCCGTGCTCAAGGTAGCGCGCTATACCCTGAGCTTGCGGGTCCACGCCCGACAGCGCTTGGTCGTCCTTGGCGGTGAGATCGGCGGGCACTTCGGTTCCGAGGCGTTCGTCGTTCGCCGCCTCGTCCATCCCGCGGCACTGCTCGCGGCACTGGGGCCTTCTCGGCGTCGCCCTTCAGCGCGCCGTGGTGTCCACTGTTGGGCGGCCTGGCTCTTGCCTGTGCGGCCTGCTGCGGATGTGGGGGCGCCGGGGACGTGCGTTTCGGGGGCTTCGTGCGGGCAAAAAGGCGCGTGGGAGAGAAACAAAGGCGGTGGCCCATGGCGGAATAGTTGAGCTGGCAGTTTAGAATCGCAAAAACATGCGCGAGCCGGCACGGATTTGCAAGGCTGGCTTGCGGCCTCTTTCAAAACCAGCCGCGCAGACTGGCCTTGCAACGCGCACTCCTTGCATTGCCTTGAAGGGTGGCGGATCCTAGCAATCCACACGCCACGCTCACCAAGTCCAGCTGCCAATGCCTGGAGTGGCTATTCCAGCATTCTCCCATCCGGCCGTTGGCGCAGCCACGCCCTTGCCGAAGCAGATGCAGTGGGAATACGCGGATGGGCTGTTTCAGCAACACACGCGCATGAGATCCGATCAGTATGTCCTTGCCTTCTAAGCCAGCGCAGCGCCACACAGCATGTTTTGAAACACTTGCGCAACTGGCCACGCTGCAGGCCACGCATGGCCACCTTGGAGGAGGGCATCATGCCTTCAAGCACTGACAACGCAGCCACGGAGTGTGACCAAGCTGTTCAGCATGCGTTGGCCTTTGCAATCTTGCAGCTGGTGGCCAAGTAGGCTCACGCGCACAATGTGCTGCTTCAGCCTTCCCATGGACGTGGGAGGTGTAACGGCTGGGCAGGTGATCTGAGCCGTGAATCCCTTGCCAGATTCCCTCAGGTCCCAGGCGCACCGCGTGTGCCCTGAGGATGCGCAGCCTTTCATGCAAACCCGGAAAAAAAGGTGCGTGAGCAGGTAAGCGAAGGCTAGGAGCAGTGCACGGCGCCTTGAACGCTCAGGGTGTTCTTTTCCGTTGTGTTTTAAAGAGAGGACGTGCAATCCGGGAGGATTCTGAATCTGCCACTTGGGGCCACTTGGAGCCACTCCAAGTGGCAGTGCCACTTGAAGTGGCCGTGCCACTTGGAGTGGCTCCAAGTGGCGCCAAGTGGCTCCAAGTGGCTCCAAGTGGCTCCAAGTGGCAGTCCCACTTAAAGTGTCTGGAGATCTGGCTGGGTTCTCACTATGTCTGAGACTGGCTATGTGGCATCACAAAATGGCTTAATCGATGTGGCTTATCTGCAGCATGTGCATGTTGGGCAGCCCTGCCCACGGCAAGGCTGTAGCAGCGGGCAGCCAGGCATTCATTGCTTCATGGCATCTGCTTGTTGCAACAAACACACCACGGGGTAGTCACGGCATGGAGCAACATGCAACCACTAGGTGGAAGGCTCTGCGTCTCTCTCCTACTGAATTTCATAAACCGTTTTTGTTTTGGCTGATGCGTGGCGTGCACGCGCAGTAGATAAGGAGGAAAAATGGTTAAACAGAGAAATAGACAGGAAAAGTTGAATTCTATTTTGCAGACTCCGATACAATATATACGCTATCACGTACACAAGCGGATGTCTTACCTCTCCTGCAGCGCTAGCTTTCTTCATTCTGCCTCCAGCTGGCCCAATTGTTTTGGGTGACGCAAAGTTTACCGAAATCCGAGATGTTTCGCACCGCAAGACACAAACCTACGGCTCAGTCTACCTTGGAAATGGGAAACCTGAAAAAACTGAGTTTTTGCGGAATGTCCAAAAACTCGTTTTTTTTGTTTATTCGCGGCGTGCACGCACAGTAGGTCATGAGCAAACAGTCGAACAGACAAACGGGCAGGAAAAGTTGAATTCTACTTGCAGACTCCGACACAATGTGTACTTTATCACGCACACAAGTGGATGTCTTACGTGTCCTGCAGCGCAAGCCTTCTTCATTGAGCCTCCGTCTGGCCCAATTGTTTTCGGTGACGCAGAGTTAGCCGAAATCCGAGATGTTTTGCGCTGCTAGATACAGACCTACAGCTTAGTCTACCATGGAAATGGGAAAACCGAAAAAAACCGAGTCTTTGCTGAATGTCAAAAAACTCGGTTTTTTTGTTTTATTCGCGGCGTGCACGCGCAGTAGGTAATGAGCAAACAGTCGAACAGAGAAACAGGCTGGAAAAGTTGAATTGTATTTGCAGACGCCGATACAATATATATATATATATATCTCCCATCAGGCACTCCAGCTGACGTTTTACCTTGCCGTCTCACATCGCGGTGGCAATAGCATCCCGTCACGCACCGGCGCAAACAGCGCCAGCAGCTAACCCACCGCTGCCGCACCAGGCAGCGTACAGGGAAAGCCTCGCGGACAGAGCACTGATACTTCTTCCATCAAAAAATGTGCACAGCACTGCCCCTTCCGCTCGAGCACGCCATGTACACGAGTATTAAAAAAACTGCAGACACTGGCAAACATGTGTGCATGCCGCAACATGACATGTGAAAAACGCTCACGCAGGCACAAACACCCTCACATGTGACTTCACTCGGACCGCAACTCTGTTTGACACTGCCAACACCAGGATCTTCGAAGTCATCAAATTCACCAGGGGGAGCGCCATTCTCCCCCAAATTCCAATGTACGCTCATAGTTCCCAGTGTGTTGTTAGGTGCAGATGCAACGGACGGTTTGTTACAACAAGGTGGTGCAGTGCCAAGTCCATCCCGGTAACCCGCGAACGGGTGCACGCCGGGAGGCCCGCACACCCTCTCGCAAGAAAACCCTTCCCGGTAGTCCGCGAACGGGTGTACGCTGGGAGGCCCGCACACCCTCTCGCAAGAAAACCCCTCCCGGTAGTCCGCGAACGGGTGTACGCCGGGAGGCCCGCACACCCTCTCGCAAGAAAACCTCTCCTGAATGAAATCTTGCTCAGCAGGTAACAAAACTATTGGGTAGGCAAAGGGGTCACCAGTTGCCCAAAAAGCTTCCGCGGGAAGGCCCTTGCTATATCTCATGACCTCCAAACGCTGCAGACTCCGACGCTTGAGACACTTCGCGCTTCTTTTATCGAGGCAGCGCTGACGTTTGCGCGGTTAAAAAAAACGACCATGACTTCACCTCACCCCTGACGGCAGGAAAGCGGTCTGTCAAGCCGTTGTCGTGGCAATAGAAAAACTTGGCCAGCCAGCGTCCTGGCAAAAGCCGCCTGCAGGATCTGAGCCCCCAGAATCTGATCCGGTGATGTTAGACGTCTTGTGGCAATATCCAAAGAAGACAACAAACGATACCCATGGAAACAAACGTCAACCAGGAAGCAAGAGAGCCTAACAGCTCGGCGAAAGCACCAAGCACGCTAGGTCTTCGCAACCTGTCTGACGAGCAGCTAACAATTACCCCAAACAACTTCCGGCTTGGGCAAAACTTCGACTTGAAACCTTGATCACTGTTTGCAACGCCACGCGCCTGCGACAGGGTCAGAAGACGTCTACCGCGCCAGGCTCAGGCCCCAAGATGTTACCAGCAAGATCTGGCCCCGTGATTTAGACATCTTGCAGCAGTAAGTCAAACTGTCAACTAACCCAAACTGCTCCGCGGCAACAAACGTCAATCAGGAAGCAAGAGGGCCTAACAGCTCGGCGAAAGCACCAAGCACGCTGGGTCTCTGCAACCTGGCTTCATATGCAGAAGGATGGATGGCACCTGTACCTGTAATTAGCTGTCATCCAAGAACAAACGTGGACCACCGCGATTCCAACAGCAGTTAGGCTATTGTGTGGAAGCGCTCGGGGCAAAAAACAAACGGAAATAATATATGGTTTTGTTTTTTATATGAGAACTCCTTTTTGGTTGATTTTAAGGGGAAACCAACAGGAAAACCACCATTTTGGGGGTACCCCAATTAGAGACATACCCATATGGCAAACGTCGGCACGAAAGTACTCTGTTGTCCGTCGCAGGGCATCGTTTGCGCGACAGCCTCTGAATTCAGGAAATGAGAGGACTGCTATGGCGTGTGCCATTCGACTTGATAATATGTGCTGCCTGACAAGTGTCCAAGAGGAGGCGCTGTTCGCCGCGGCAGCGCAAGTCAAAACTGATTCTACGCATCACCCAGCGATAGGGACAAGACACTTGGCTTTAGAGGACACTGCCAGGTGTACGCACGAGACCTCAGCTTGCTACGTACTAGTCACCAAGACCACTCTCAGCGGACATCCGCAAACTGCGCATCGTCATCATGCCGGAAAGGATCAAAAAGGTCGTGCAATCCGATGGCTTCGCTGAGCTCACTGTCATGAAGGGCTCGCGCCAGCAAGGTGCAGGTTGACAACTTGCTTTGGATTTCAGCATCTCGCTCTGCTATACCGAGCAGGGCATCAAGACTGAAATGCTGGTAGTTCCACTTGGCGAAGCTCAACTGTGCCAAGACGAACCACCAAGCTGGCGACATTTGCCGGACCTGAGGTGCAATGTAGTTCAGCAAGGCCGCCCAGTAGCGTTCCACGCAGACAGTGCCGCTTTGTACTGCTATCCCAGCTCGCAATGTCTGTATCGCCATGTCTCGCCAGTGCATGAAGCTCTCCACTCGAACCGGCCGCCGAAGTCGTCGGAGGTGTGCCCGGACCTTCTTGCTCAGGACGCCCGTCTTGCCGGGGATGATGCGCTGCTGACGCTCCCGTAGAACCTGTCGCCTTCGCAGCAGCGTGGATCTCTTTCTGTGTCGATACCACCGCAGGATCCTGCGCACTTCTGCGACAAAGTCCGTGGCGTCGCGCACATTGTAGTTGCCCTCAGTGTCGTGGATTTTTACCCCAAATCGCCCGCACAGCCGTGCCAAGGTTTGACGGGGCGGCGAACTCCCGAAGATGCCGAGCCAGCTCTGTGCACGAGAAGCGTACGCCTGCCCAAGGAAATCTCGCATGTCCTTCTTTTCCTGATCCGAAGCGCTGCTGGCATCAAGATCGAAGCGTCTGTTCCGCACAGCTTCTTGCAAGAGAGGCTGAAGATCCTGAGGCTGACGCGCGACCATTCAAATGCTGATTTTCCGGTATTTCCCTTCCTGTCCCTTGATATGATCAGACATGTGCAATGTCCTAGGATTTGGGAATGAAGACACAGTCAAAGAAGTGTAGGCCTGTGGAATCAGCATGCAACCTCTCTAGTTCGCTGCATTGAGGCAAGCTCAATTCATGGGATGTGACAAAAGCAGGCCTGAGCTCAGATGTCAGCATGAAATGCTAATCGCATGCCGACCAGTACCTTGGCAAACGAGAGTCCCCGCCCCCCCTTTGCTGTCCTGTCGCAACTCTTGGAAGACGTGATCGGCCGGACAGGTCGGATGCGGCGAGGGTGGCAAGCTGAGCCTCTCCATAAGGTTCCTGTGATCCGCAACAAATGTTGGACCGTCGCTGCTGGTTGGAGGCACCAGTCGGCCCAGCGCCAGCACTTCATGCTGGGGATCTCCCGTTATCCTTGGCCCAAAGATAACTGAGCAACACACGCAGCTCACGTGACCAAAGCAGACACGACCCAAATGATACCGAAGCTGCATGCTGAGGTTCCTGGTGGGATCACGGTCGGGGCCGGGCGCCACAGAGTACGCATCTCCACGAGCTGTGCTTGACACGCTCTGCACACCAGTGCTGTATTTCCGCCTCCAGAAACTCCGCAGGAGCTTGCGATGTTTCGCGTAAGTGTCAGTTGAATGATACACGGGCGGGATCTCATGCTGCGCGAGCCCGGCTGCTTCTCTGTTCGCTCGCCTTACACTGCGTGGCACGCAGCATACTAAAGAAAGCACAAGCAGGCAAAACTTGTAACCTGGCGAGCGGCATCTGGTCTGCTAACTTCTCCAAATCTGGTCGAATGTAGGCCCAAGATTCGACGGGCATGAGTTCGCACGGCTTCAGGAGGCACCCGTCGACGCCACACCAGCCGTAGATGACAGCAGTGGCAGGGCGAGCTCCTGGGCAATGCTTTTTACGCGCACTACCTCGACTACCCTTCCGACAGAAACCTTCACTCTTACAGCTTGGGCGGGCCATTGCATCCCTTATACCCGCAGGGTCCAGTGGGGTGGCTTTATCCACGAGCTGGCCTTTGATGCGAGCAGCTATCTTGAAGTTGCCGTCGCCTTTGACGGCGCTTCCAGAGTACACGTGGGCAGACTTCTGGATCTCTTCGACAAGGCCTGGCAAGTACGACATCAACGCTTGCCGCAGGACCCCGCGCAAAGCCCGCAATCTCGGCAGACAAGATAGCACACCAAGCTGCTGCTGAGCAGTGGCAAGATCCAGGGAGTTCGAAGCGTATAAGTCGAGCAGGTAGCGTTTCACAGCGGCTGCAGTTGGCACCTCAGCAAATTTTTGCACCGCCTGCACCAGCAAGCGCCCAGAGAACCATACAACTCGCTGCTTTGAAGTACGACAGGATAGAGCGGTAGGGAAGTGGCGGCGGATGTCGCTTGGCTTCACTGGGTAAGATTTACCACACGTCAAGCACCGCTCCGGCCGCGTATCCAGCAAATATGGCAGCGGGGTGTCAAGCAAAAAGATTGCTCGCTGACTAAGATCTCGTCGGACCTGAATAGACGGAGCAAAAAACAAAACTGCAATACAACAAGCTGCGAGGCTTCCAACCATTTGAAAGCGTATGCATAGGCGGTAGCGTGCTGCGTCTTTGAATTCACACCAAGGCACCACGACCTGATGCCAGCGCCCGTCCACAAGCGAGCTCTTGTGCTCGGAGGCAGCAGCTGGCTCCACACGGATGATTTCCCCTGCGGCGGCTGGGGCAGTCGGTCGTTCTGCACTTGCTTGCAGAGGGCCCAAGTAGACCTGCACGTCATGGGCATCAGCAGCTCCAGGCTCACACGCAGCAGGCAAGACATTGAAACGCAGCCGGCCCTTCCGGAGATTTCGTGGTTGAATCTGCACGCGCTTGCAGCCCACATCTTGCAAGTCTCTTTGCGCGCACGTCTCTGTGTCTGCTCGAGAGGCAGTCAGGATCGCCTCATCCAGCGTCTCCTGCAATGGAAGAACATCTGCCATGGGCACTTTCCTGCGCTGGAAGGTGGAGACGATGAAGCAAGGGTTCCCTCGTAAAAGCGCACAGCGTCCTGGACGAGGATCGGGCGGGGCATCGAAGGGTCGTCTGTGGTGAAACAAGCTCATGCTGGCCAGATGTCGCAGTCTGGGCAAAGTTCTCCCTGCTCTCAGCCGCTGGGACAAGTCTGCACCCTGGCCATGTCGATCCAGAGAAATGGCATCTTGAGGGTTTGCGGGGGCGTTCCTGCTGAGTCGCTTTTCCCGTTTACCTTTCTTTGGCCGTCTTTTGCTTCAGCAGCAAGCCTTGCGGAAGGTCAGGGCCTCGTCCGTCAGATCTAGGTTTTCTGGGAAACCTCTTTGGCCAAGCTCTCGTGACACCGGACTGTTTCCGCTTGACGGGCTCAGGATGCTGTGACTGCCAGCGATGCGCTGGAATCCACTGCACGCATCCCTTGCGCGCCGCGCTTGAAATCCTCCAAGGCTCCGCGAGCTGCTCAACTTTGTCAAGCTCCCACAAGTGAGGGGTTCCATAGCACAGCCGTTTCTGTTGCTCCAGCAAAGCTTCCCCTGCACGCCGCAGTCCCGGCTCATCCAACTTGTGCGCCGCAACCAGGCGGGCTCGTGCCACAACATCTCCAACGGCAACCAACCCCAGCCAAATATCCTGACTCGGACGGTCCGCACAGCAAAAATGCAACTGGCAAAGCTGGAGCTGGCTCCTTGCCTGGAGCTCTGCTTGGGAAGGCAGCCCCAGGGAAGTCCAAACATGCAAAAAAAAAAGAAGTGAATCCAGCAAGGCATCTCCGCGCTTTGGAGTGAACGTCCCTCGCAAGAGCCCGGAGGCTCGACCGTCGAGCAAGAGGTTCAGGGACTCTTGGGAAAGCAAAAGCACATCCATGGCAAAAGATCGCTATGCCGGGCAACTGCACGTGTGCCGCTGAACCTGCTTCTGCTCACATGGCTCATGCTCATGATGCCGAAATGTTCTGCATCATGTTCTGCCTCCCCATTAGGAAAGGTACTCCGCGAAAAAATGCCACGCGAGCGAGCGACCAGTGGCTCAGAAAAAAGAACGAGGAATGACAAGGCAATCTTTGGCATCAACACGAAACCGAAGTCCTAACGTCAGCGGGCCTGCAGTGTCGCCAGCCGCATTCCACGACGCAAGTCGCAGAGGTAGACATTGGCAGCGGCAGTGATTGCACGGTGATGTAGACCTTGCCACGTGATGTTAAAACCAGAACAATGGGTCCCCTAAAAAAGACGAGCCACCCACTTACTTTCATCCAAATCAGCCGAGGTGATTTCTGAATTGGCAACCAAATTTACCCCAGTAAAATCATCCAACAGGACCAGCGAAAGTGAGTCAAAGAACTCAAACACATTACCCTTGCAGTGAAGCTGTGCCCCCTTTGCTCTAAACCAACCCAGCCTGACCACTCCCGACCACGCAAAGGTGCAAAGACAACCACTGAAGCAATCACATCTTGATCCAATGAGGTAGTCACATAGAGTACCTCCCACCCCACCAAACCTTTGCTGGCTTTGAAGGGACCTAGCCAAAATACTGCCCACAGTTGGTTTCTTCAGCAAGAACCCCCATAGTAGAAACTATGGACCCAGTATATGGGCTTGCCGTGCATCACTGTGGAGCTTGCCACGTAGAAGCTCTGGGCAACCCAAACATGCTCAGGCCCTGCAAAACAAGGAATTGACACGTCCGGATTCTAGTGAAGGAGTATGAGTGTCACGGCACGCAGGGACAACATGTGACGCAGGCCGTCACTCCATGTCGGACCCTTCAGCAATGCGAATCTCTTTTTATGTTCAGGACTGCTTTGCAATCGGGCCGAAGGAACACGAAGCCAGCAGCCTGGCATGCAGATTTCCGGGGCAGCTGTCTGAAGCCTCTGGCTACAATGTCAGCTTCATATTCCCTACTCGCACAAAAGCTCCGAGAGGGCGGGGCTTCAGATTCACGGGCACGATCTCCAAGGATGCGTCCTCCCCGGATCTGTCGTTGTCATCAGAGCAGCAGGCGTCTACTTCCATCCACTCGTTTTCTTCAGAGGTCCGCGGCTGTTTCTGCACCGGCTTCTCTGTGGGCAACACGTCGAATCTGCGAAGAAGCCGCCAAAGCGCCACCCCCAGAAACATGGAGCCCAGAGCAGTCTGCGCCAACGACATTGCTTTGGGGTTTATGTGACCACCTCAGCCAAAACCTCTGGCATGCGGTTAATCGCATGAAGGAATGAAGGACTCCACTCCATCCACCAAGGGAATCAGTGAAAGACGTCTGTTCGAAACATGAGTCTGCGCACGGATCTCCCACCCCAGCACGCCGCCACGTCCTCCAGACAAACACACACCCGAGAACCTTCATTCAGTGGACCCCCTGCAAGGTTTCCAAACGAACAAAACACGACGGTCCGATGTCCAGAATCTACCCGTCCCTGAAACGATGCACCAGAACATCTTTCCAGATCAACAACACCCTTTCATACCAGCACCGGCTTCTCTTTTACCTGCGAGAGCACCGAGTCAATTGACGGTTGTTCAGCCGCACATCATGTTTATTCCTTTCCAGTCGATGTTGGGAGCTAAAGCGCGTTTCCGGCTCCTTTGGCGGCACGCTCCTTGCCGCCGTGCTTTCCACTCAATAAAAACTGCAAGACGGCAATGGCCTGACATGCATTCTGACTGGCATCAGAGACGCAAAAGTCGGACTTTACAGCTACGCTCACATGGCCAAAAGTGACTTCACTCGGCAGCCACTTGCGAACTTCAGAACATATCTGCGAGTAGCCCCAGCTCGCCGCCTGCTGTCGCTGGCGGTGTGCGCAAACTAGGCGTTGAAAAGCCTGGCTGTTAGCTCCGTGTCGGCAGTGACGGGTCAGCTGCTGTTTCCGGTAGTTCCGAATACCAAATAATGGAAACGCTGCCACTGCGTCCCAGGACAGCAAATACTCGAGCGTGTGTATGAAAACCAGTTCCCCGCCAAAACCTTTTACATGTCCGAGGGCATCCGCCAGCTGCGACACTGTCTGAGCGGCCAACATTCCTGACAACGCCGCTGGCTCATACCACAACTGCCGAAGCAATCCTTCCAACAAGCGCTCTGCGCTCCATGTCTTTTGCTCGGACGTGTGCTTGCTACGAGCGCGGTTAGCCTGAAGACCAGGAAAGCGATTAGCAGCGTAGAGAGCATCGTAGAGTTGGCCGAAGCACTCGCAGTTGCGAAGGAGAAAGTCAGGCCTTGATAGCAAAAATGCGAGTGTGTCTCGCGACCTTGTGGCCAGGACGAACAGCATGGTGGCAAGCACATGACGCTGTTGCTCAGGCGACAAGGGTGTATGGGTCCAGTGCCTCCACCACTGACAGCCCATGTCATTGAATGGGTCGCTTGGCTGCTGATCGGACACATCGATGCCGGTCTTGAACACTGAGTGTAGATGCATCTGCCTGACGCAGGATCTCAATGTAGTGCCGTGGCGGGGGACCTCGGCATGGATCAGCCGTTCAAACAGGTCTGTCGTCAGCAGCCCGCCAACCAGAGCAGTAGGCATCATCCACTGCTTTCTCCCCGCGCAAATTCGGGCCACCACATAGCAAGCCAGATACAAGCAGAACAGGTGAGAAGCCTGGACGGAGGCAAGCTTGTCCTCCCACAGCGCACGCAGCGCTGCGTACACCACCGTCTCCTTCCCGGGCGTAGTGGCATCAGCAAACTTTACTTGGCGCAAATGCGCCACGCGCCTGGCCAATCTGCTATCCTTGCTGTAGCCACGTTTGGCAGCCTCAGCTAGGCTCACAGTCTTGCGACCGGGCATGCTACACAGAGCGCGATATGGAAGGAGAAGATCGGAAGATCACTCTTTAGGAGCCGAGCATGCGGCGAAGGTGATGTGCGACTTGCACAATGTCGCTCGGCAGCACTGCCAGGTCCCTTTACAACTCTTCGTTCGTCACCGCCTGCGTTGAAGGCAACGAATCTACTTCTTCAGACACTTCGCGCTTCTTTTATCGAGGCAGCGCAGACGTCTGCGCGGTTAAAAAAACGACGGTCTGTCAAGCCGTTGTCGTGGCAATAGAAAAACTTGGCCAGCCAGCGTCCTGGCAAAAGCCGCCTGCAGGATCTAAGCCCCCAGAATCTGATCCGGTGATGTTAGACGTCTTGTGGCAATATCCAAAGAAGCCAACAAACGATACCCATGGCAACACACGTCAACCAGGAAGCAAGAGAGCCTAACAGCTCGGCGAAAGCACCAAGCACGCTAGGTCTTCGCAACCTGTCTGACGAGCAGCTAACAGTTACCCCAAACAACTTCCCGCTTGTGCAGAACTTTGACTTGGAGCCTTGGTCACTGTTTGCAACGCCACGCGCCTGCGACAGGGTCAGAAGACATCCTGCAGCAGTAAGTCAAACTGTCAACTAACCCAAACTGCTCCGCGGCAACAAACGTCAATCAGGAAGCAAGAGGGCCTAACAGCTCGGCGAAAGCACCAAGCACGCTAGGTCTTTGCAACCTGTTTGACGAGAAGCTAACAACTACCCCAAACAATTTCCTGCTTGGGCAAAACTGTAACTTGGAGGACTCAAAGACTGAAAGACGGAAGCTCAGAGGTCTGATGCCTTCCTGTCAATAGCCACGCTGCGTGTAACATGTGGGGCTCGCGCAACTCGGCTGGTATCACTTGACACCTGGCTCTGGGTCAGACGCTGCCTCATCCTTCATCTCCCGCAACAGCTACCTCTGGCATTGTCTCCGCAGCGGGAACGCTGGCCCGTGACAACGAGCCGCTCGTAGTTGCCAGAGCGCCCGCTTCACCTCCACGATGGCCAGATGGGTTGTCAAGGTGTTCTTGCAAAGCCCCCAGCCACCCATAAAGGAATTCCATGAGCCCTGTCAGGCCACTCACGTCACTCTGCAAGCGGTCAATGGCCATCTCGGTCTCAGACTCTGCGCGTCTTCGCCTCCGCTTTGCTCGACGATCACGGTCGCCATCTGAATCATGACTGCGATCGCCACCACCACCTTCACCCTCACCTGGGCTGGGATGCTCTCCACCCGCGGGCCTCGTGCTTGGCGCAAACCTTGCCGCCGATGTTGCGAATGCTGGAGGCTGCCCGTGCCCCGAGGCTGCCGCTCGCGCAACTGCAGGACCGCCATTCCCGCCCGACCCAAAAGTCTGGACATTGATGCGAGCGCGACTCGCGAATGGCACAACTATCACGGCTGCATTGCTACACCCAGTCACAGACACGGAGACTACCGTGCGAGGAGGGGCTGCCATGCGGTTCTCCAGATCAGCTAACTCTGACAGACAGAAACACGAACCTACGGAATCTCCAGCCAAACTCAACTGCCCGTGCTGGAGCGCAATCAATCTGCAATTCCTATACCACGTTTCATGGGTCTGTGGGGCCCAACCAAACAAGCCGCATCCAACAAAATAGCATGCAACGAGGCGCTCTTTTTCCAACCCCTGAGTCCAAAAGCCCCACTGGAGCCAACGGGCAACCCGCATGGGAACGAATGGCAGCCAAAGCCAGCGAGGCCGATAGAAAAACTTGGCCAGCCAGCGTCCTGGCAAAAGCCGCCTGCAGGATCTAAGCCCCCAGAATCTGATCCGGTGATGTTAGACGTCTTGTGGCAATATCCAAAGAAGCCAACAAACGATACCCATGGCAACAAACGTCAACCAGGAAGCAAGAGGGCCTAACAGCTCGGCGAAAGCACCAAGCACGCTAGGTCTTCGCAACCTGTCTGACGAGCAGCTGACAATTACCCCAAACAACTTCCTGCTTGTGCAAAACTTTGACTTGGAGCCTGGGTCACTGTTTGCAACGCCACGCGCCTGCGACAGGGTCAGAAGACGTCTACCGCGCCAGGCTCAGGCCCCAAGATGCTACCAGCAAGATCTGGCCCCGTGATTTAGACATCCTGCAGCAGTAAGTCAAACTGTCAACTAACCCAAACTGCTCCGCGGCAACAAACGTCAAGCAGGAAGCAAGAGGGCCTAACAGCTCCGGCGCCCGATTGCCTGGCAGCCTTGCTACGGGAAGAGCTCACTACCAACGCGCAAGGACTTGCACATGTCTCTGGAGTCCTGGCAATCTGTGATGTCCGACCACTTCCTCTTACGAAAGGTCAATGTCGCATGGCCACCGCCTTGCCCTGGGACAATGTCCAGAAGGGAATGCGAGGCAAGGTCTCGAACAGCTTGTAGCAAGGTGTTGGCGGGACCGTTGACCTTCTTCTTGCGGTCTCCCTTGGCTCCACGATCACACAAGGCCTGCAGACGACCCTTGAGCTTTTTCCTGACATCCTTCGTGCTCTGCACCTCAGTTGTGCTTGGAGTGCTCTGCAAGACCCACTTCATGCAGAGGTGAGAAGCATCCTGACCTTGGGCGGGCCCAGTAGACGTAGCTTCAGCCCCGGCCTTGTCAGCAGCAACCACCAGGCCGGAGTAGAACTCCAGCTGGCGGGACCAGGAGTGGATGCCGTACTGGATGTCGCGGATGCCGATGGGCTTGTCCTCGAAGCCAAGCCCGGCGCGGAGCCGAAGGAACCTGAGAAACTGATGGCCCTCATTTTCAGGGGGGCACGCGGCTCTCGACTTCAAAGCGGGCTTAGCATGACCATTCCGGAGCGAAGGGCGACTTACCGCCCACGAGTGCTACAGGATTTGCGCGGGCAAGGCCTTTGCTTTTTTCTTTTTATGGCAGGCCGGGGGTTGATGGATTGTGGCCACGTGGGCAGCTCATGGCTGTACGACTGCATGGCCTACGACTTCCAAAGCCAGAAATGAATCCAAATGTGAATCTAAACGGCTGCCGGGGAGCTGACGCATCCTTCGGACGATGTTGCTGATGCGAAGCACGTCGCTGTCCGCATAGTCCAATTTCTGGGACCACGTCTCCGGCAGGCTCACCGACTCTGCGAAGTCGTCAACGCATTGCTGGATGAGCCTTGCGAGACAAGAGGGACACGCGCGAGGCACGGAGAAAGCAGCACGCGATGGAGAGTTCTGCTCGCGCAGAGCAGAGTAACTTGCACAAAGGCAAGCGCGCAAGGGCAAACTCAAACACAAGCATGCGGGCAAAGCCCGCCTGAGCCAGCCGGCAGCGAACTCATCGCACGTGACCGTGGCGCCTTTGTTGGGCTCATCCCCCTGCGTGGCTCTCTCGGCCATGAAGACAATGAAGTCGGCAAGGAACTGCTTGGACTCTAGACACTCCTGCTCCGGTATCGTGGCCGGCTTCATGCCCTTCACGACGATGTGGAAACGTTTCGGGAAGCCGACTTCGGCCCCCTTCCTCAAAGACAGAACCTCCGATAGCGGCTGAACGTGTCCGATGATCCAATGATAGAAGCTATAGTTGGAGTTGTCGTCCACCATTGCTCCGGTGAGGGAGGCATCGCGCTCTGAGTGCACGAACTTGTTGATGAGAGACTTGGCCGCCAGCTTGGCTTGCGGGATGGATGGGTCGGTCCACGACGTCTTGTAGGTCTCGCTCAGCTCCGTCGAAGAGAGGCCTGAGCGTCTGTAATTGTACAGGTTGTTGCGGTGACCTTTGATGGTCGCGTCGGTAGCGATTGCCGCCGAGCCCTTGACGCCGTGCGGCAGCGTGTCGATGTCGAGCAGCTCTTGAAGTAGCCACTTATGCATGGAGCTCTTGCGGTTGCTTGCCCGCGAACCGAAGAACGCTGCCAAGGTGGGTGTTCTGGCATGCTCCTCACCCTCCGAGATCTGGATCCTGGTGTCCACGTGCTCCAGCCAGCCGGTGACAGTAAAGAGGCCTGTCGCAGGGACAGCGTGGATGTGCAGCTGCGTGCGCGCCAGTATTAACCCGACCCATAGGGGATGCAGGGACAAGCGCGCGGTCAGAACACCACCGCATCTTAAGCCATTTGCCGCGCGTCAACGCGCCGTGCCTTGCAGGGCTGCCTCGGCGCACCAGCCCTGTGCCTTGCACATGGTCTGCACCGCTGTGATGATCGGCACCGGAGCCAGGAGGTTGATGTCGAACGCGGAGTCGTCGCCAACCTCCACCAACGTATTCTTGGAGGCAGTGACGCGCTCAAGCATTGCGAACGTCGCCTGGTACAGCTTCTGGTCCGTCTCGCACTCGAGGAAGAGCTGGACGGGCTCCGACACTGCACCAAGGTCTACATCACTGGCGCATTCCTGAAGCTTGCTCAGGATCAACTGGGCTGGATCAGACCGTCTGTCTGCTGTCTCTCGCGAGGGCCGAAAGGCAAACCCCAGGCGCTCATCTGACTCCACAGGCCCTACGCCTTGGGACTGCGTCAGCTGTGAAGGTTGCAGGTCCTCATCTGCAGTGCCGAGGACCAAAGCTTGGGCGGTGCTCTGCACCGGCACGCCAGCGTCACAAGGCTCCAGGTCCTCATCTGCGGTGCCGAGGACCAAAGCCTGGGCGGCGCTATCCACCGGCACGCCAGCGTCACCGGACATAATTACATGGCAAGCGGAAAGACACGCAAAGCCGCAAAAGCTGCGAGCCCGAAAGGCGGCAAGCAGCAGTATGACCCTGAAGCGCAAGCTGTGTCCTGACAGGGATTCCCGAGTCCTCATTGTCCGTAACTTTGCGCCAGTTTGCGCCCCACGGGACGCTGCAGCGATACCCTGCAGCCGTCACAAGCTCGTAGCTAGGTTTCGCGGGGACGGGGAAACTGGCCTTCAAGGCTGCTGCCGAGGCAGCAAATTAAAAAAACCGAGTTTTACGACGAACTCCAAAAACTCGGCTTTTTTGTTTACGCCCAATTGCGCCCCAAGGGAATGCATCAGCAGCTGCATTCCAGCAAAAATGCTATTTATTCAGCAAGCTCGGCTGCTCAGAAAGCGCCAAAAGAGCCATGCAAGGACCTGAAAAGTGGGGTTGTCCCTGCAGCCCCTGAAAGGTTGCATAAGGACAGCGGTCTGTCAAGCCGTTGTCGTGGCAATGGAAAAACTGGGCCAGCCAGCGTCCTGGCAAAAGCCGCCTGCAGGATCTGAGCCCCCAGAATCTGATCCGGTGATGTTAGACGTCTTGTGGCAGTATCCAAAGAAGCCAACAAACGATACCCATGGCAACAAACGTCAAGCAGGAAGCAAGAGAGCCTAACAGCTCGGCGAAAGCACCACGCACGCTAGGTCTTCGCAACCATGAATGTGATGTCAGCTTGATCTGTCAGGTGTGGCCTAAGGCCCCCGAGCCAGCGCCCAAGGAGATGCCGCCGTCAGGAAAGATCTGATAATATACTACAAGAACACAAACGAACCTTCTGGTGGTAAGCAACCCAAGCAATCACACGGGAAAAGGGGGCCTTCAGCCCCGCTTGTGAGCGAGCCGGCCTTGGTTCAGCGGTAAATGCGTCGGACTCAACTTTGTCTTGCGGGAAAATTTGGAGGCTCGAATCCCGGACCTGTCGCGCAAAACGAATTCTGTTTTTGATACCGCCAGGCTTGGGGTGAAGAGTCGGGCGCGAGCGAGGCAGGCAGAGACGACGCAAAAACAATTTTTCGGGCCGAAGTAAATTGTTTTTGGGCGCGGCTAGGTTTGGGGCGAGCACAAGCCTTGGGAAGAGGCAGGCGCGTGCGATACAGCCAGAAAGGCGGCTACTGGCAGCCTCACGGCCCATCGCTCAGGAGCTACATCGGCGCCTTTGTTTTCCTTGCGCCCGCTTTGCGCCAGGCTCGCGCTCCAGCCGGGCCTTGTGGCACGCGGAAACGCACGCAAGGCAAGCTTTCTGGCTCGTGCCAAGACTGGCCCTCCCAGGCGACGCGCAAGAAGCAAACGAAAGAAAGCTGCAATTTGGGCAAGAGCCACTTAGCATACATACATACATACATACATGCATACATACATGCATACATGAGCTATTTGGAGCCACCTGGAGCCACTTGAAACAGAACGTGCCACTTGGAGCCACATGGAGCCACTTGGAGCCACTTGAAGCGGCACGCGCCACTTGGAGCCACTTGGAGCCACTTGGAACCACTTGGAGCCACTTGAAGTTCGGCGAAAGCACCAAGCACGCTAGGTCTTTGCAACCTGTGTGACGAGAAGCCAGCAACTACCCCAAACAATTTCCTGCTTGGGCAAAACTGTAACCTGGAGCCTGGGCCACTGATCGGTGACGGAAATGGGCGTGCCAACCTGGTCACTGGCAGCTCGGCGAAGCGAGCGAGGCAGCCAGAGACGACGCAAAAACAATCTTTAGGGCCGAAATAAATTGTTTTTGGGCGCGGCTAGGTTTGGGGTGAGCACAAGCCTTGGCATCTTTTTTTGAAAAGTAACATCCTTACTAAACCGTAAAGTCGCGGGTTTTGGACGGCCCTCACATGACTACCCCTCAGCCTCTTTGAAGACACTTCGCGCTTCTTTTATCGAGGCAGCGCTGACGTTTGCGCGGTTAAAAAACCGGCCATGACTTCACCGCGCCAGGCTCAGGCCCCAAGATGCTACCAGCAAGATCTGGCCCCGTGATTTAGACATCTTGCAGCAGTAAGTCAAACTGTCAACTAACCCAAACTGCTAGGTCTTTGCAACTTGTCTGACGAGAAGCCAACAACTACCCCAAACAATTTCCTGCTTGGGCAAAACTGTAACTTGGAGCCTGGGCCACTGAGCGGCGACGGAAATGGGCGTGCCAACCTTGTCACTGGCAGCTCGGCGAAACGCCAAGCACACCAGCAACAGGATTAGAAGACATCTACCGCGCCAAGGTCAGGACCCAAGCCCACATGATGGCCTCCAGAAGCTGGTAGTAGCAAACGAGGATGACCGCAGTGGTGCCATCGGCGTCCACATGGATCTCAAGAACGGGCCACCACGGCTCCTGGGAGTGAAGGCCCTGGAGGCCGTCTTGGATCTCGCCCAGCTCCTGCTCCAACTCCTCCCATCGCGCAAACGCGTCCCGGGAGTAGTCTCCCCGGTTGGAGTACTTGCCGCTGATCGGGTCATACCTCACCACGGCCAACTCGGCAGAGCGGATGATGAGAGTGTTCTCCACGGGCCCGTTCGCCACGGCTGCCTCCATCACGGTTTTGATTGAACTCAGTTACAGGCTTGGAAAAGGCTGCAAGCCTGCAATTTGTTTGCATGACCGAAACAGCGGGGCACTATCACAGCATTAGTTGATGATTAGCCCCAAGTGACAGAACAAGGTCATACAATTGGGACAAGCGCAAACTCACACCAGGCCTTGATCTGCCACACCTTGCTCTTCGCACCGCCCCAGCGCAATTGGATGCCTTCCCCCTTGTTCAGGCGGTCCCACAACACGACGGGCATCAGCGTGACATCGCCCCAAAAGCGCTGGACCTCCTGCTTGGTCGGCTTTCGCCCGGCAACCACGAGCCCAGTGGCGTCAAGCCTCTTCGCTGAAGAGGCTGGGCCAAAGAGCCGTGTCCCCAGGGCATGCTCTGTGACCGCCTTGAGGTGGTTCTTGCCCTGGGCGTGGCAGGGGTCCCAGACCACACCACAGAACTTGCACCTGCCACCGATTCCCTCCGCCGGCTTGGCAAAGGCTTGCGCCCGGCTCAACTCCGCTTCCGTAAGCGGATCCTTCAGGCCCGCAGGCACGGCAAGCGCCGCACTCAGCCGCTCCTGGATTGTGACCGCGGCGCCCTCCGAGACCATGCCCAAGTGCTCTGCGAGGAGATCTGAAAACGGTGTTCGCCGTGAGGTCTCCCTCGCATTGAGCACCTCCTGGTCCGTCATCGCATCCACAACCTCCTGACACATGCCTTTCTTGATCATGGCTCTTCGGATCCTCTTCGCTGCCCTCTTAGGGCCTCTGTCCCTCTCATTGCGGGCCTTGCTCAGCTTTGAGCTGGCCAAGGTCGTGTTTCCCAAAGAAGCAGCTGAGGCATCAGACATCCCATCCTCATCCACGTGGGATTCCGAGGCTCTCGTGGATGCGTCAGCTATGCTCATCGCCAACTCGTTCTTGGCCTTCACCTCGCAAAGCTTGGACATCGACATGGCTTTTCCTCCAGGGGCTTTTTGGTACTAACGTGCTTCTCTTGGCAGGAGCGGCGGCTGCGTGGCAGACGTGGAAAACAACAGCAGTCAGCCCCCGAGTTGCAAGCTGATGCTTGGGACACTGATCCCCTACGCATAAGGGGTGGGGGACCTGGAAAATGCACATCTGCAGTTTTAAGGTCCCCCCTCGACATCCGGGAGCCAGGACATGACACAAAGCCTCCTTCAACCGCCAGAGCAGAAGGAATGAGTGCGCCTGCAAAGCTCAGCTTGGGCTGAAGGCCTACTTTTGACATCGACCCACTTAGGTGTTTTTGGACCTACATCTTGGAGAGCGTTGTTGGGTATCGTTATCCAGGCAAGACCACAAATGGAGCACCTGTGTGATACACCCTTGCACGCCCTCGCGTGACTCAAGTAATGGCTATTTACATATGAACCTGGTCGCAAATACCTCCGCGCTCAACACCCAGCCGCTCAGCATTCGCTATCCGCTGCACGCAAGCGCTCTGCGCAGTCCTTCAAATCCGCTTACGCCCAGCGGCCGCAAGCAGATTTCGTGGTGCGACAGCAGATTTCTGGCAAAAAATCCGCTAGCGCGCTGGCAAATCCGCTTACGCCCAGCGGCCGGTAGCAGATTTCCAAAACTGGCGTGAGCGGCTTTCGGCCGCTGGGCGGCTACCGGCCGCTGGGCGTAAGCGGATTTGACAGCGTGCTAGCGGATTTCAGGCTGGAAATCTGCTGCCGCGCCACGACATCTGCTTCCGGCCGCTGGGCGTAAGCGGATTTGCACTTTTTCTTAACGCGATGGCTTAGCGATGCACTAGTCCCAAGTGCAACCAAAGGGTTCGAGACGCCACCGGGATGAAGGAATCCAACAAAGTAAAGAGATGCACGAGGAGTCAGGCGGCTGTTTTTTCGCCCGCGCAAAAGAACTGCAATAAAATGCTAGACTTTCAACAAAGGTGGCGCCGGGGTGGCGCCAAGGATCACATGCTCTCACATACATGCTCTCACACTTGTTTCAACATGTGACCAGACATGATGGCAAAGCAAATCTCATGTAATCTCACGAATAACGTATGATAGCGCACTATAGATTCTACGTGGGGAGAAAAATGCATAAAAATAAAATGCATAAGGTACCTAGGTCCCCCCTAAATGCATTTTCCTAGAATGGGGGATGGACACTGTGGTCAGCCCCCCCGCGCAGAAGATCAGCAATCGCCACTTCGGAGTTCGCGTGTCAGGGGTTCCTTGAAATGTGAAAGCCCTGGTCTATTCGAGTTTCGCCGTAAGGCCTTTGGATCTACCCCCGGCACAATCTACAAGATGCTTCAACAGAAGGATTCACGGACTGTCCGGCCTGTGAGTGCAACGAGCTGCACTGCAAGTAGCACTGCGCCTGCCTAAAACAAACTAGGGCAAGGGCGAGGGAGGTGACTGGGCGGAGCCTTGGAGTCGCAGGAGACAGCTTAAAATCTAC